CAGCCAGAAACACTGCCTTCAGTCTCCACTGGACCCTCACAGACCCCCACGCTATCCCGTACTTGACTGGGACTGAACTGGGAAGGAAAGGGGTTGAGTCCATAACTACCAGTGAATCCAGAGACAGGCTGTCATTCCTTAGCTCCCTCCCAAAGATTCCTTTAACAAAGATAGAGAACATGAACATCAATAGACAGGGGTTCATCCCCAATTTGTGCTCGTATGCACAATTCTATGACGTTTTTAACTGTAAATAGTACGAAGAGTGTTTTCACAATGAAAATTCCAAAAAGAAAAAGTGCACTTTAAATACCCCGATGATGCACTAAATCAGTCCTGGAGTGCCGTTCTATATTTATAGCCTTTAGTTTAGCTCCAACCCTGACAAAAACTCACCTGCCTGAGCCTTAGTGGAAAAACTGAGTGGAAAACTATAATTATTTTTTAAATTATTGTGAATTTGATATTTCAGTTTTTCCTTTTTAATAAATGTGCAAAAATGTCAACAATTCTGTGGTTTTTCTGTCAATATGGGGTGCTGTGTGTACAATAATGAAGGAAAAATTATTTTAGCAAATGGCTGCAATATAACAATCATAACAATGAGTGAACAATTTAAGGGGGTCTGAATACTTTCCGTACCCACTGTAATATATACACATATACACACACATTATTTACACTTATAATAATAGTCACTCGAAAAGGAAGTGGAAAGAAGTATAACTTATTTGCGATCTAAACAGTTGCGATTTAGATTTTGCTGTTAATTTAAATCAGATTCCAATGACATACACAAATAATCACAACTCAATCTTACCATGTAATTGTAGATCTGTGAGGCTGGGATTTAATGTATCAACATCATTGCTGATTTCTCCATCCAGCAGAAGCTCCTGCATACTTGCTGTAGTGCTGTGACCAGCCTGCAGGGCGGTGCTGTAGCTTGGTGGGGTGTGTGCTGGTAAGGGGGAATCCAAGCTGCCTGTCCTGGGAATAGAGGGATGCCCAGCACTGGGCTGATGGGTGACTGGAGAGTGGTATGGGAAAGCTAAAGTGTCTGGAGGTAAGTAGGGGGGAGGCGGGATGACAGTTTGAGAGGGTAAAGGGCTGTAGATAGACTTCTGATGCGGGACACTAGTCTCATGGACAGGTTGGTGTCCGTAGGCAGGATGCATGGCAACTCTTAAGGACTGAGAATGTGTATGGCTGCTTGGTAGACTGAAGTGAGATCCAAGAGTCTTCAATTTTTCAGGTCTCTCCCCAAGCAGACGTTCCAGCTCCTCTAAAAAAATGAGCTCCTCATAAATAAATACAGTTATAAATAAATAAATAAATAAATAAATAAATAAATAAATAAATAATATATATATATATATATATACACACATTTAAAAATATATATTATAAATATATATATATATATTATATAATATAATAGAAAGTAATATAGTGTAATATCTATAGACGAAATATAATTTGGGGTCAGTAAGATTTTTTAAAAATAAATAATTAATACTTTTATTCAGTGAGGATAAGTAAACTTTATTGTCACTTATTGTCACTTAAAAATAAATAATTAATACTTTTATTAAGTGAGGATAAGTAAACTTTATTGTCACTTAGTCACAAGTACCAGTGGAATTGAAGGATTTGTTTATGTTTATGTGACACTGAAGACTGGAGTAATGATGCTGAAAATTAATTTTGCCGTCACAGGAATAAATTACATTTTAAAATATATACACATTCAAAACTTTTGTTCTAAACAGAAATAATATTTCACAATCTTACTGTTTTTATTCTATTTTTTTATCAAATAAATGCAGCTTTGGTGAGCATAAGAGACTTCTTTCAAAAAACAAAAAAATTGTGCCAAAATCTTCAGTATAATCGCCAGTATGGGTAGATTTGGCATTATGTATGGGGGTATAGTTAGGACTAAGGGTTAGGGTTAGGATTAGGCCAACAAATAGAGGGTTGAACCCTTTGCGCACCTGGTCGGGCCATGCTCCTCCGTACAGTCAGCGGATCTTTACGTCTCCACTTGTGAAGTTCCTCCTGCATCTTCTCTACCTTCGCTGGGTTCAGGGCCCACAGGCAGCCCTTTCGAGAGGAGTTCCCATTCTTGTTCTCTACTTTCTCAAAGCACTTGTTTAAAGAGAGGTTGTGTCGGACAGAATTCTTCCATCCATCAGGTGCTGTCTGAGGAATCACAAATAAAACTAGGTGTGCAACGAAAAATAATGAATCTTGTAGCAGTCAGTTCTCCAAAATTTAGAAATATCTTTCTTACAACACTTCCCTCAGTGAAGTCAACACTGGATCGGTACGAATCTGCATGTTTACCAATTGATGAGCCAAAATAATGTCACATTGTAAATCCCTTTACCAGCACAGCGCCAAGAGGAGGGTGATTAAATGATCAGCCATATAGAGATCATGCCATAACAGGCATTTTCCAGGAAATATGAGGAACAAATCTGTTTACATTCTGTATTTGTTACATTCCTCATGAACAGGCCTCCTCTGTAACTGTTCACTGTATGTATATTAGATGTAGAAATTGTTCTGAGAAGTGGTAGTGCAGTTTACCTTGAAGTAGGGGAAATGATCCGTCATGAAGCTGTAGATCTCACTTACTGGTAGACTGCCCGTTTTGCTATTCCTCAGAGCCAAGAAGATCAGAATACTGCAAAGAAATATATGAAAAATCACCAATCAAACAAGACTATTGTGATGCATTGGTTTATTTTGATTTGTTTGGAAGTATTATCAGTTGTGACCATGTTTTTTGATGCTTTTATATATGCTTGCCAAAGTGACAGTGTCTGCATTCACATACATTGATGTATATACATATTAGTATGTGGTATAGTAAATAATTGAATCTTTTCATTCATAACAGATGACTGATTGTGGTTTAGTAGTTGTCAGCAGTTTAGTTATACTTTTTTTATTTGCAACTACATATGTATAAATAGTTGTTGTTCATCATTTAAAGGGGTCATTGATTATGATTTCACTTTTCTAACTTTAGTTAGTGTGTAATGTTGCTGTTTGAGCATAAACAACATCTTTAAAAAAAAATTGCTTTCTATAAGAGACTACAACAAATGGCTGGTAGGAACTACACTACATTCCTCCCGGAGATCATGAACCCTAAAATTTACATAAACCCGCCCCCGGAATACGATTTGTAGATTATCAAGACAGAATATGCTAATCAATGACTAAAAGATAACTACACATAAGCGACATAAATTCATCTAACCATTCTTGTTGTCACATGTTGTCACTTCTTCTTGATTCTCCTCATCTTTCTTACTCCGGTTTGAACATTAAAGGCTAAAAGTTTTTGAAATTTTCAGTGCATGTCAGTGTGAGGTAAACAAAGCTGCTGAGAAGCTCCGCCTTCTGTGACCGGAGCAGCAACTCATTTGCATTTAAAGGGACAGACACAAAAACTGACTTTTTTCAACTTTAACATGTTATATAAAAATATCTGTGGGGTATTTTGAGCTAAAACTTCACATACACACTCCGGGGACATCCGAGATTTATTTTCATTTTGTTCATCTCAAAATTGTCGAATTTTGAAATGCTGGATATTGGTTTTAATGATTTTTCACGTGAAGCTGCACATATTTACACTCAGCTGATTTTTAGATCAATGACATGATTGTAAGTGTGATGTTCCGTTTAACATTTTAAAACATTCATATTTTAAATAGAATGGAGGTTATGTTGTAAATTTTTGAATGAATCTCAGTGACTCAGTCACTTGTTGGCAATACACAATACAGTAACAATATTTTTCATAGACGTATTCACGTTCAATATAATATATAAATGAGTTATTCCATTCATCAACTTATAGATTTATATCAGCCAATTATCATAGCCTAAGCAAGTGACAAACATTTAAACATGGTACTTGTTTTGTATAAAATGTTAGGCCCTGAGACGATTTAGAACTAACAGGTTTCAGAAAATGATCTTTTTTTGAATATATATAGATAATACAGGTAGGTGCAAATACATACCTGTAAGAGTAGACGGGTTTAGGTAGAGTGTCTGGGCAGAATTGTCTTGAGATGTTTGTGATGAGAGGCTTTGGCTATAGTAGTGAGAAACCGTGTCTATTCCTCTTGAAGAATAAAACTAGAGACAGTACATACAAAAATAACTCTCTTTAATTAAAATTAATTAAAAAGTATTATTGTGTAATTACACTTTGTGTAATTATTGGTAATAAAAAACTTGTGTTGTCAAATCGATTAATCACGATTAATTGCATGTATCAAAAGTTTGTAAATATAATATATATACATATAAATATATATGCATACACACACATATGTTTATTATATTATATTTTTTTTCAATCATGATTAATCAATCTCGATTAATTGACTTGTCAGCACTAATTTTTTTTTTGTTTAATTTTTAAGTTTCCATACTACACCCATGTTCAACAAGAGTATATCTTTGTTATTTGTCAGTCTTAGGATGTAGTAGAACTTTCTGCCAATGTTTTGACTGAACATGTGTCCAAAACCTGTTATCATTCGATCATTTCTACCTTCTTACATATGCCAAAGTTTACCTACAGTAGTCATATCAACTTACATATACACTACCGTTCAATGTTTGGGGTCAGTAAGATTACATTTTTTTTATTCACTAAGGATGCATTGAAAAGACTTTTATAATGTCACAATAGATTTCTATTTCAAATGATCCTGAAATGAGAAATGCAAACTTGGTGAGCATATGAGAAAAAAAAACAAAAAAACTTTTGAACAGTATCAGTATATCACACATTCTTTCAGGAGTACCTGATGTTGTAGAGGACTGATGGCACTGTACGTCTGATGATTAACTGAGGTGTAGTCGGGAGGATCTTCAGAGCTTATCTGAGGCTCACTGTAGAGGTGTTGAGTTCCCTGCCCCAAGAGCAGACCATGATTTACTTAGTTCTAACAATATGTTAATGCTTCTTTAAAAAAAAATTGTAATAAGGACATCTGCTTGCACATCTGCCTGACAGGTCTTCGTCTTTCCATGTCTTTTGCCCCTGGCCTAAATAGTGCTGGCAGGAATTTAAAAGAGCCTTCAAGGTTACATATATATATAAAACATATATATATATATATATATATAACCTTGAAGGCCCTTTTAAATAAACCCAAGAGAGCTAAATACTAGGCTACCTTTAAAAATGGGAATTTTTTTCTTTTTTTTTTTATCTGAACAAGAAATCTTAAAATTTCGTTTTAAACAATCACTCAGTCTCACCATAATGCTAGTCGTCTCCACATTAGTGCTTAATGGACTCCAAGAGGATTGTTCCTCCAATCCATCGGCCGTGTTGAGTTTCCCAGCCAGTCCAGGTCTTCTGAGACAACTGAAGGTCTGACCCTCACCGATGGCCCCTTCACTGCATTGACGTCTGTAAGGATGGTAGTGATAGTTTTCCGCCAGGCCAGACTCCTGTTCAACGGGGCTTCCGTCTATGCTGTGTCTACGAAAGCGCTCGGCACTCTTCTGCCTATAGGGAACGCGCTCTCTTTGGGAGTAAGGTGCAAACCCCTCTCCAAAATTGCTCTGGTGACACTAGATTGAACAACAAAATAATGCAAAAACACTATAAAACATGCATATTAGCTCACCAATATGAAATTCCTAGAACCTAAAATTGCCTAATACATGCAACAAGGCAACGAATTAATGCACTCTTTAACATAAAGCAGTTTTCCAAGTGGAAATGCAGTAGCACGTAAAGATCTTTGATCTGCTAAAGAGCCCATAAATGCATTTAATGTGATACACAGCCTTCCCTAGGGCCATAATTAATTAATATTTAATGAAGAGGTTTGGTAAAAAGGCAGGATGAAATCCTTCTATTTCTGCCGCAGGGTCTTGTGTCCTTGAATAGTGCCTTGTGCGGAGGTTCATGTCCTCATCAAAAAGTAATAATTATGACACGGTCGTAATGAGAGCAGATGGCAGGGAGCGGTTTCTAAGAAGCGGCAACTACAGAACAGTGTTTCAATCAATCAATCACCCATCCATCTTTCTGTCTCTCTATCTATATATGCCTGTCTGTCTATATATCGTTCTGTGTTCCTAAATTGATTAAAAACAAATGTTTTAAAATGAATACATTAAATTATTAATACCTGTGACTCTGGCATCTGAAAGCAGGGCGACCCAAGAGGGTCAAAGGATTGTAGTTCACAAGGAGAAGGAATTGGAGAGCTGCTGCTTCTGTTTAAAGACAGGCCTTGGGACTCAGAGGACATCGTCCCTTCAACCCGCCTCTTTAAAACAACACAACAGTTCATCAGGTTTTGTAGATGAAAGATAAATAGATGTAATATGCAAATGTGATGCCTTCAGCTACTGTAAGAAGAAAAGCAAGTAAAACACGGCACAATGTACCCTCAAACATTTACACTAAAGTGCTCTGGGGCTGTAGTTTTAAAGATAAGAATTATGCCATATAATGCTATCATGTTTCATGACATACATATACAATAAAAATCAACCTCATGGTTTTTTTCCCTCATGTACAAAATACATTATGTTATACATGTGTCCAAACAATCAATCTCTCTAGATTTGGCCTTTGAGCAAACCTACAGTCTTACGGGTCGTAACTGTGTAACTGCGTCTAGTAAGCATTTTTCATAACGGTCCATGTTGAAGTGAAAAAGGTCCAAAAAGCTGTATATATCATTGCCCTGACTGCTATCTGATCATAAACAGGTAAAACATAAGGCCACATAAGTATCTAGTATTCCTGGAAATTCAGGCTACTTTCATTTACTGTCAGCAGACAGTGCCGTTTGAGCCAAAAACTCATTAAAATCACCAACAAACCATGAAGGAGAAGCAGAAGTGTGTTAGTGACATGAAATGGAGATGGGGGAGTTTTGCTCCATCTGAAACATAGAGCGTAATTCAGTACTGGAGAGGAAGTTGAGCTGGCCTTTATGGTTCATCACTGTGACTTTTAAACCGATCCTTTGACCTGTTACGGTCGAGATACAAGCCATTTCCACTCTTGAGAGAAAACAGCTGAGTATACGTAAAAAGGTTATTGGGTGCTTGTGTGTTTAAACTTTAAATGATTAGGCAAGCAAATGAGGGACAAGAACCGGATTTAATGCTATATATAATTTTAAAGTAGCTATATGTTTTTTTTTAAAGTCTGTTTTACTGTAAACAATAATATAACTACATTTTGTATTTCAAAAATTTTACTCAGCTCTCTGGAATACTTGATTCTGATTGGTCATCTGCAGTCCAGCCTCGCATATTGTTGTGTTGCTGTGCTCGTCTTGTCACTAAACTGATTGCTTTGTACGTTGTAGTGGACAATTTTTTTCTCAGCGGAATCATTAAGATAAGATACACTTGCGAGATAAAAAAAGGTATGAATTTAACGTAATTATATTACAAAATACAGCATGTTCTGAACATAGACTAAAAATAAATATTTCTGAATGTATAAATGTAAATTCTGAATATATAAAATGGATACATACAAATCTTAAACAGCAGAAATGTGATTTATAAAAAAAATAAAACTGATGGTTTTAAAATCTTTGTCATGTGAGTCTTATTTAGGAGTGTTTAGCCAATAGGAGTTACTGGATGATTAGATTCAAGTTAAAATGTCACTGCTTTGAGGGTCATTTAATCAAGTCAGTGAAATCACTAAATAAAATGGAACCAAATGAGATCCTTCTCCTTTTAATACATCCACTGTGATAGAGCTACAACTTTACTTGATTTATAATTCATTTATTCCTGCATGGACCCAGGTCGTTCTTCATAAAGAGCTTTACTTCTGCTTTTGGCTCAGCCAAATACTGCTTAAAGCAGTGTTTAAATATATACTATATATAATTATATTTAATAACAGTTGATCGTGTTGTGCGTGTTGTAAATTTCAGTTTTAATGCCCAATGTTTTTATTTGATATATTGAGAAGCTCTAGAAATTTAAAATGATGAACATGTTCTGTTTCCCATTAGAGGTCAGTAAGCCATGCTATATAATCCTCTAATACAAGATAAAAAAGAAGATAAAGTGTGTGTGCATGTGTGTTCTTGTTTAACTGAGAGGACCAAATGTCCCCACAAATAGTAAAATGTGAACATTTGGTCTGGTCCAAAGATATAGACTACAAGTAAGTGTGTGTGTGTGTGTGTGTGTGTGTGTGTGTGTGTGTAATGTCCACAATCCTCGTATTTTTTTGAAAATGTAAATGCAGAAAGTTTTGTGTGTTGGGTATGGGTTTAAGGGTCGGGTTAGAAGAAGAGGATAGAAAATACAATTTGTAAAATATAAAAAATCTTTACGTCTACACTGTAAAAAATATTGTTGGTTTAATTTTAAAAAAGTACGTAACCTGGTTGCCTTAAAATTTTAAGTTGATTGAACTGGAAAAAGTGAGTTAATACAATGAAGGAGAATAATTTAATCATCAAAAACTCAAAATAATAAGTTGTCTCAAATAAATAAATTATTTAGGTTGATTTGACAAAAGTAAAAAATGTTGTGATAACAAATCTTGAAAATATTTTTTATACAAGTAAGTATCCACAAAACGTGGATACTTTGTGTGTGTGTGTGTGTGTGTGTGTGACTGAAAAGATCATCTGTAATGAGTAAGAATAAAAATGCTGAAACAGGTATAAATGTAAAAGTACTTCATTTCAAGACTCCTTCCTCTCTCAATATGATCACATTTATCTCACTTTGATCTGGTCTCTTGCATGTCTATACAGCCCCACTCGTGCACTCTCACCACACTTGAGTGGCATTTCAAATGGACTGTGCATATTCCTTTACACCATCATCCATCAAGTAATTGGTATATTTCTTCCCATATGTCTACAATAGCACTTTCACTCCACTTCAGTAGAAACACATCTGAGCGTTTAAAAAAAACAGTACTTTACTTCCTTAAATGTGGTCAAATGGCAGAATTCTCTCTAAAGGCACATTGATGCTGCTGTTTTCCAATCAATGAAAGTAAATGGAGACCAGGAGCTGTCAGAATTATTGTTATTATTATATATATATATATATTTTCCCATAAAAGTATTCCAAATCCAAAGTAGTTCTAGTGCACTTATTAAGTCTTTGGAAGCCACATATGAAGAAAAGGCCAAGATTTGAAAGAACAAGATTGTGTATTTGACAAGTTTGACATCCCCTGGTCACCATGCACTTTCATTATGTGGAAATAAGCAGTGTCAACATTCTGACTAACATCTACTTTTATTTTCCCCAGGGGAAAGAAAATCATAAAGGTTTTTAATGACATGAGGGTGAGTGAATAATGACAGGATTGTAATTTTTAATGCACACTAGATATTTAAGATCACTTTCCAGCATAAATGGAAATCCTAGAGATGAAAATCATTAGAGCCAGGAACTTTGGAGCTTTGAACGTGCCTCTGGAAATCTTATAATGAAGGTTTCTGAAAATCGGTTTAATACCAGTGTGTATTGTAAACATTGATAAAATGTGATTGATGTGATGAAATCTGCACCCAACAGAAATACTTGTTAAGTTGTTAACAGCATACACTATTAAATATAAATAAAAAATTGAATATAAAATATTGTTTTTTATATAATATTTATATTTACGGAAGCGTATTGTATTCACTTAAAGAAAGAAAACAATTACAATTTAAAGATAATTTTTCATGGAAAAAAGTTTTTGCTCTGTTTTTCTGAATTAATGACTTGATTATCTCAAAAACTCATTTATTCAGAAAAACAGAGCAAAAACATTTTTCCATGAAAAATTATCTCATAATTCTGAGATAATTAACTCGTTAATTCAGAAAAACAGTGTAGATTTTTCTATAAGTGAATGCAATACGCTTCCATATATATTAAATATAAATATAAACATTAAATATGACAATAAATACAAGATTATCATTAATTATATTACTAAAATCTATTCGCACATAGCTTTATCTGATCAGTGAATTAATGACTGTCCAAATGACTTCAGATAAATTAGACAGATTCTAAATCATCAGCATTATTTTTATGATGATCAAAAAAAAAAAAACTCAATTAATACTGAAGGAATGTATGACAAGGTTGCAAGATGAAGATGCGTATCTATACCATTTATACGCCAGTGGCATTTATACGGCAAAAAAAAATTTATACGTGCTTATGCTACGCACTAAAAAACCCTGGGGTAGGTTTAGGGGGCAGGGGGGTGGGGAGTTCGTGCGGATTATATGGAAAAAAGTGTGTATCATATGCACGCAAAAAAAATAAAAAAATATGCGTACCATATACACGCTAAAACTGTTTTTGGCGTATAAATGCCACGAGAAATGACATTCGTGTTATAGATACGAACTTTCATGAGATCGGGCTCGCAAGATCACATCTGGAAACCACATCTGTGATCATACATTTGTAACATAACTCATTAAATAATGACTCGCATTCATCTAATAGCTTGCTCCTTGTAAAATAAATCTCAGCTCAGCTCTGCGATTTTAACTGAGAATCTGTAAAAGGTTCAGTCCATTTGGCCCCCAGCCAACCTATGGGATCCACACACACCCACAGGGGACAGACCTGCTGCAACAGGTTTTCCAATACACACATGTGTGCACACGTGTTTGCACAGCTACACACACTTGGGTCACTGGCAGCTGGGATCATAATGAGAACATATTTTAAATGTTATATCAGACCCATCCATAATCATAACCCAGAGAGAATTGGCGCTTTGCCGAACTTTGCTCCCAGAGGGAAACGACCCTGCTGCACCTGCCTTGCCCTGCCCTCTTTTCCGTTCTCTCTCACTCCAGTATCCCTCGCTTCTTCTCTTATGAATATCAGCGAAGATTTCATCCAGGTGGAGACAAGCCTAACAAGGAGCCCGAGGGACATTTCCAGATGCCTTATTTATTGGTGCCAAAAGGGATACAGTTGTACAATAGTATCTGTGTAAATGAAAAGTAAGATCCCACAGATGTTTACACATGTGTACGCCTTTAATTTTGGACTTCTTAGCTCAGATCTAGCATGTTATTTTGCTGTCATTGAAACCTTATACCACAATGTTGATCCTGGTATGTCCCAGATGCAGAAAAATTATAGCTTGCAGAGATGACTTTGGAGTGCATATTAGGTTAAAAACAAAAAACAAAACACAAAAAAAACACTTACCGCTGTGTGTGGTGCTTCCAGGCCCAGGTTGTAAATCTAAGACAGTCAGAGTCCACACGGATACCTGCAAACCAGCTGTAGATCTCCTCAGAAATCTCTCTCTCAGTTTCCTCTCTGAGTTGCTTTTATAGTGACTGACTGCTGACAAGAAAAACAACTGAGACAGATATCTGTAGAGAGTAAGAGAGAATGAGCGAGGGAGGGAGGGAGGGGAAATGAATGTCAATGCAGGTGAATTTTTGCCCTACCCTCCTAGTGAACCTGGGAGGCAGAACCACGGCCCTCCTGAGCTGCTGTATTAAAATCATATTCTAATGTGAATGGGAGATGGCAAGAAGGGCTGAGAGAAGCAAACATAGTGATAGTAAAAGGGAACCGCTCAGTGAAGTGCTTACACTAATGCTTTGGATTTGTTCATTACGGGAATGAGACAAAATGACAGAATGTAGAAACTGTCGTTGTGTTTATCTCATGTTTTACTTTAAAATTGTATTAAGTGCAGTGTTTCTTCATTCGTGTCTATTTATGCAATGTGATTTGATTTATAGATAGATAGATAGATAGATAGATAGATAGATAGATAGATAGATAGATAGATAGATAGATAGATAGATAGATAGATAGATAGATAGATAGATAGATAGATAGATAGATAGATAGATAGATAGATAGATAGATAGATAGATAGATAGATAGATAGATAGATAGATAGATAGATAGATAGATAGATGTTTCTGCAGAACTGGTTCAAAACAATACATTACTGTATTATGTTTCAAGAAATCCCTCTTTGATTAGTCTTGTTTTTGTGTGTTTTGCAAAGAAATCCTTGAAATAACATGCCTTAAGCCCTGCGATGGTGTAACTGATCATGGTGAATAGTTTGGCACCAGGACATGGCACAACAAAGCACACTTGATAGACATCTGCTAGTCTTTACCCACATAAAACACACACTCAAAAAGAATACCCTTTCCTTTTGCAATGTGCTGAAAAACAGTCGATAAGTATTGGTAGTGGGCAAGACAATGTTGATGATCGGAAGAACCTTTCTGAACGTTTTCCCTATCATATATGTTCCCAAACTGAAGTTACCCGAAGGTGAGAGTTTGCATAGATTTTACAGCTTACAAATGTGTATTTCTATTTACGTCTCATGATTGGTATTTTAAGTTAAGTATCTTTATGTATCTTTTAGATATGTCATCAAGGCAAAAATGCCATGCCAAAAATGATGCTCACTGTTTCTCTGATGACATCATGGATCATGTGGGTTAAATTTTCTATTGACGTAACGCATCCCATATACTGTAGAAACTGAAGGCACTTGGCTACATTATAAGAGAACTAATAATGTTGTGTAACCTGCGCAGTTATCACTTTACTGAGAGGATGTGATTTCCAGGCTGTTGGATCACTCCAGATGAGTTAAGGTCATGAGGTTAACAGTGCCAATGGTCCACCACAACCCAGTTTTCCAATCTCATCCTTATACTACACTCATCCACTCAACTCAATTTATCTCTTTACTTGAAAGGATTTTCCTTCTGTCCCATTCACTTGGTCCAAACCAATCAAGGTCTCTGGAGCTGGAAAAGGGGACATGACCAGCAAAGCACAAGAAAATCTAGATCTGATCTTTTGTTTCAGAAAAGAATACACAGTAATCACAAGTGTTTTGTTTGTTTTTAGTTTTATTTGCTTTAAAGTTTTGTCAGTTTTGTTGTAGTTTTTTTTTTTTTGCTTTTATGGCAACAATTTTTAATAAGTTTCCATTTGTTAGCATTTTTTAACAACAATGAAGAAGGAAGAAGGAGGCTGGGAACCGGCGAACATTCAAATAAACAAATACAAAATGGACAACTGCTGGCCCCAGAAACAAAACACAACACGACAGGCCTGTTCCTCTCTCCATCTACACTGTCGTCGCTCCTCCTTTATGCTTCCGCTCCTCCGTGATGTCTGTGAGAGATGCGAGACCGGTGTGTCTCACATGTGTCGCGCTGCTCTAACGTCACTCGGCCTCCTCCTGCTCGCCACACTTATAAAGCATTTATTAATCTCAGGCCCAGTTAACATCAGGTTTTAAGATGTGTTTTGGTCAATCAGATTAAAAGTGGAAACAATACAGATGTAAGCGTCTAAAATGTTTTGACCTTGTCCACTTTGAGAGGTAGTTGAAAATACATTCGACTGGATTGCTTTCATAGAGTAAGCTTTTATGGTCGAATGCATTCAAGCAGTCACAAAAGGCCGCACTGAAGGCCGAATTCTGACTCTACCATCTGAATGTCTCAACAGAAATCGAGACTCATCAGACCAGGCAACATTTTTCCAGTCTTCAACTGTCCAATTTTGGTGAGCTCTTGCAAATTGTAGCCTCTTTTTCCTATTTGTAATGGAGATGAGTGGTACCCGGTGGGGTCTTCTGCTGTTGTAGCCCATCCGCCTCAAGGTTGTGCGTGTTGTGGCTTCACAAATGCTTTCCTGCATACCTCGGTTGTAACGAGTGGTTATTTCAGTCAAAGTTGCTCTTCTATCAGCTTGAATCAGTCGGCCCATTCTCCTCTGACCTCTAGCATCAACAAGGCATTTTCGCCCACAGGACTGTCGCATACTGTTTTTCCCTTTTCACAGCATTCTTTGTAAACCCTAGAAATGGTTGTGTGGGAAAATCCCAGTAACCGAGCAGATTGTGAAATACTCAGACCGGCCCGTCTGGCACCAACAACCATGCCACGCTCAAAATGGCTTAAATCACCTACCTGTCCCATTCTGACATTCAGTTTGGAGTTCAGGAGATTGTCTTGACCAGGACCACACCCCTAAATGCATTGAAGCAACTGCCATGTGATTGGTTGATTAGATAATTGCATTAATGAGAAATTGAACAGGTGTTCCTAAAAATCCTTTAGGAGAGTGTATATTGACCATTGTTAGTTGCATTAAACAACGTTAACTAATGGATGTTTATAACATGTAACATATTAATTTTAATTATTTACTAACTTATTTATTTATTATTATATTGATTTTACTCATAATAATTAAAGATTTCAGTTAACATGTAGGCCAAGAAATGCACAATTTTGAGTCAGGTAAATCCAAACAACATGGAGCAGATGGTCGCTATAACCTATGACTGACATTAAACCAAGCTCCATCATATTAGACATAATATACTAAATAATTACACCCTGTCATGATGCTTTATCTATATTATACAGTATGTATTTAGAGATGCGAAGACACATATGTATGATTCATAATGTAGTTCTCACTCATCATTCGGGCCCTCGGGTGTGTGTGCTGTTGAGGGCAGTTGTGCCGTCAGTGCTGGCAGCATAACACACGTTCAGGCTCATCCCTATTGAGAGCAGCAGGTACTTCTGCTCTGGAAGTAGGATATACCTTTCTATACATTTCTATATATATATATGTTCTCACCTGAAGTCACCAGAAAGTGAGGTAAGAATCTGTCTAACAGGAATGACCACAATCACCTAGAATGCCTTTAGGGCAATATTCAATATTTTTTGTCATAGGGTACAGAGATAAGTGGGATACACAAACAAACATGCTAGACTCATAATGGTGAGGGTTCAACAATAGAAAGTAAATAAAATGCAGAAGCCTAAAGATTTACAGTGCTGGAAATACATTGTTCATTACTTTATTACCATTTTGGGCTTTCATATCCAAATTTGCCAATTCAAATAGTCTTGCACATGCATGAAGAGGGAATCACACAAAAAATTCTCAAACCAAAACCCCATCTTTGGTTAAAAACAATGCTTGCATTTATAAAGGTAAAGGTTGAAAGACAGCAACTAAAATGAAAATGCCTCTGGCAAACTTACAGAGCTCTTTTCCCACTTGACAAACTGACAGCATGGGTGGAGCAAAGGGCTAAACAAGGGGGAGACACACTATTGATTACACAATGTGACAGAAAGGCAGATTGAATGTGAAATAAATATTGAGCTATTAAAATGTATTTATTTATTATTATAACTGGCAGGTAGAAGGTATATTCACAAAATCATTTTTTTGTTTCAGTTTTTCTCAGTCGCCTTGTTGCATTTCTCACATCACTGTTTACATTTGCACAACAGTTAGTTCAACATTCACAACATTTAGTCATTTGGGCACATCATAGCAGTTTCTCATTCCTTCCAACAAATTGCAAATGCTTTTGGACATGCATCAATTGCTTTCATACAATCCTTGCTGTTTTATAACATTATCATTTGCTTATGTCATGACAGTCAAAATTACTTGTGAATCCTGAATAGTCATTCCATATAAAACTAATAGTCATCACATACAGAAAATGTTGAACTAGTTGTAAAAATCTGTCAAGCGAATGCTACAATTTTTTATGTAAGAGCATTTGCAGTAAAAATGTGAAACATATTCAGTGTCTTGTACTCGGTTACCTCACTAAATACAGTAATGAGCAACTTTACTGTAGTTTTCAAATGGCTGTGCAAATATTTAGTGCTGTCTTGGGCATTTTCATGTAGTGTCACCAAGATGGGACTTTTTTTGGATTGGAAAACATTTGCAGATTACTGTAAACCATCACATGAACTGTCAATGAACACATGACAAAGCCATTTGACTATCTTGTTCATACAATGGTGTCAGGACAGGTGTTAATCTAAACAGGTTGATTAATATTGTATTGGAAAATCAACTTAAACTGTTTTAAATAATATCAAATGTATATTTCTTATCTCTCTGAAGGGGAGTGGAAATGCTCATGACAACATAAACAAATTTTCCAGCATCATGCCATATGTTCCTTGAAAACATGATGAATATATAGTCTACCTTAAGAAGAAGCTCAAGTGTTTGTGTCTCTGCAATTTGTCTTTGAAGAGGAGCTGAACTGAATAGCTGTCATTGCCTTGGTTTCATCAAATGCCAAAGTGCACTTAAAAGAGGAATAGTAATCTTTCGTTCTCTCTGTTGCTGCAACATGATCTCATAGATATTATCAAAGGAGCTGAAGGTCCCACGGAGAAAAAAAAAAAAAACTTTCTCATGGCACTCCCATTAGGACATTGTCACATTTTACTGCTAACATTTTAATGACTTGAAACTCCAAGTTATTTTAAAGTACTTTCTAAGTGCAATGTCCCTGAGGGACACTAGTGATTGATTTTTCCTTTTTTTTCCTCTGATAATAATTTAAGTCTCTCACACATAAAACATATTTAAATTGTTGAAAGCATTCAAATATTTGCTTTAGTATAAAATGAATTATATCTTGTATCATATAACTCCCTATTGTTAAAGCATTCCATGAAACATTTCAGAGAATCAAAAACGAATTATTCTCCAGCCGAATACACATTTAAATAAATAAATAATCTTAATCATTATATTGCAAAGGAAATTACTTATACACATAAAACAGCAGATTAGTTTGAAATTGGATCTCATGAAGAATTTTAATTTATTTATTCCTGTGTATAAGTAAAATCAATATAATATCAGCCTGCAATCTGCAAATCCTATTTGAGAGGTTAAACCAGGGGCATTCTTCTTAAAAATGATTTCATGTTCAAAAGCTTTTTGAATCGTATTATTACTTGACTCATAATCTAGCGTAAATGTAAATGAACAAATAAATAAATATTTATTTCCAATTATAATAGAATTGTATTACAAGTACATTCCAATATGTTTTTACCTGACAGAATGTCCTATAGGCTACTCATGTCTGAAAAGTTCTGTGAAAGTTATAATATAATATACGTAATAGCCTTTACAATGGGATATTCACCAAACATTATAAAGATGACTTTAAAAAAAAAAAAAGGCAAGTTTTTTTGGTATAAGGAAGGGTAGTCTGTCATTCATTGTTTAATACAATATGATGAGCTGTACGGGTTGAAAGCAGTTGGTCATGCCTTTATTATTTTTATTCAGACTAAATACACCGTTAAGGAAGCCCTCACTGCAACCCTCTCTTTTATTTACAGTTTTTCTCAATTGCTTTGGCTCAGTTCTCAAATGTTTTTTTTATTTCATATCTCTGAACAATTCGCTTCTTTTTCACATCAGATTGGAATTTCTTATTGATTTGAGCAAATTGCAAATGCTTTGGCACATGTGTGCAAAGAGTACATACAACTGTCTGCAGTTTGGACAACAAATAATTGCATATGGCTTGTTCAAAACTGATGACTCGATTCTCACTTATACTGTCAAACACTTCAGAACTTCTCAGACATTTTTTATTGTGTAAGCCATCACATTCAAAACGATCTATTCAATTATCATTATTAGTACACATGAATGTACTGTTTATTCTAAAATATATCTGACATTGACATTGTTTGTAGTGTTTGCTAAATTGGCACATGACCTCTAATTGCATTCGCAATCGAATTGCAAATTACCTCTAATATGAATCAACCATTTAACCATTTAACCAATCAACTTTGGGAGTATATATAGATATAGAATGGAGGACATTCACAACCCTGAACTGCAGCAACATGCTCATGGAAGAGCAATTGGAAGGCGTGTAAGAATACGTGGTGGTGGTAGAGGAAGAAATAATCGAGGAAGAGGTGGAAATAGAAGAGTCAGAGTCTCTGATGAAATCAGAGCCACACTTGTGGATCATGTCATAAATCTGACCATTGCAGGGGATGGGTGCAGCATTCAAGGAGATTTTTTCCATGGTGTGTGGCAATGGTAACATCAGATTGTTGATGAAAATGTTTGAAAATGAAAACTGATGTTGATGAAAATCTTTGGCCTGACCAACGTGAGCGACAAGATGTCCACCAAGAATAATTTGTTTCTTTTTTTTTTTCCATGAATGTTATTTGTTGTTTGTGTATTTGTGGTAATACACAAATATGAAATTTAAAGTGAAATTTTGTTACTCTTGTCAGTTACTTTACATGTACAGTAAATACACTTGTATTGTGTATATACACATGAAGTACAAAAATAAACACTGTAAAAATACAAATGTTCATAGAATTTTTTTTTTTTTTTTTTTTTCTACATACTATTGACTTTTCTCAACAAATATGAGATTTGTTTACAATAAACCCTTAATTTTCATGGTTGACTGTTGTGGTGGAAAAAAAAAATGAAAAAAAATGTCATTGTGTGGCTCACACAATGACAAAAATACTTTAGATTTTAGACTTGGCCAAATTATTGACAAAATAACTAGGTTTTGAAGCATGAATTAAATGTTTTGGGTGAGTAACTACATTTTGCAGACATGCTATAAAGTTTTGAAGTTTCTGCAAACAGTTGTGACATTTGCACTCACAGTTTAGAGAATGTTAAGACTGTTTCGAAAAATGTGCCAAAGCAATTGAGAAAAACTGCAATCTTCTTATACTTCTTTTCAGGGGGATTACAATTTTGTTTTCAGTTTTATAGATTGTCATGTCAGTTTCATATATGATTCAAAAGGGGGAGCCAGAAGCAAGGCAAAACTGCTGAAGAAGACGCCGCGGGCTTCCGTAAACTGTTTGCGGTTTCTGTCTGTTCTGTTATGTCAACACTCTTTTGTCGTACAGATTCGTGCAGATTTGCATAGACTCGGAAAGCTTTAAATCATGGATGAATCAGATACAAGCGCTATTCTTGCGGAGGACTCGGAGTCGGGTGACTCAAGCAAAGTCTGTTGTTGTTTTAAGGTGACACAAAACAAACCTCCTCCGCCGTGTTCGTGTCCTTTTTCCGTGACCGTGGAGCCCGTTATGTTCCTGTCCACGTTCTCCCTAGTTCTCCAGATGCCTCTATACACGCAGTACCTGTGGGAACGTATCAGTGAAGATGTGGGTTATAATGGAACAAAGAGTGGAGGATGTAATGCATCTACGGTCCACGACCCACTGCTGAAGGTAAACGATATTTGACACGTTGTCGTTTTGGAGAAGAACCTTTTTTCATTCCCAAATCAGTCTGTTCTTATAGTGAATCAAAAACAATTTGCGCAACCACCAGTGAAGGCAATTCCGAACAACAATTTTGAGTCGGTTCTTTCTATGACATTTTTGAGTCGGTTCTTTCTATGACACTTTTGAGTCGGTTCTTTCTATGACACTTTTGAGTCGGTTCTTTCTATGACACTTTTGAGTCGGTTCTTTCTATGACACTTTTGAGTCGGTTCTTTGTAGTGAGTAAAAACACACACACACACACACACACACACACACACACGCACGCACACACACACACACACACACACACACACACACACACACACACACACACACACACACAGAAATAGCGTATCGTGTAGTTCGATTCCCGAACGAATGACTGTTATGATGAGCCTCTCTTTTTTTCCCAGTTACTTAATATAGCTCTTAATAAGTTAATATACAGAAAGCTACAGTACGGTGGTTCGAATCCCAAAAGAATGACTCTTACGAGCCGGTTCTTTCCTCCAGTGAATCTGGAAAACAGTTATTTTGCGACCAGTAAAGTCTAGTTACCAAACAAATTAATGTTTTTTTAACCCATTTTATTTTAAGTAAACGAAAAATAAAAGTATAAAAGAAAATATTCGATTCGAACGAATTACACTTTTGGGCTGTTTTTTTTTTTAAAAATTTTATTTTTTTTACAAAATTGGACTAGTACCCTGAACATATTGGGGGACCAGCAAATCCAGTTTCCGAACTAATGACTTTATGAAACTTTTCTTTTAGTGGATCAAAAACATCAACTCAACCAGTCGATTGCCGAGCATATGACAATACACCTACATTATGAGGCTTTTTTAGTATTACTAAACACAAACACAAAATTGGACCAGTAATCCTATTTCTGAATGAATGACACATGAACCGGTTCTTTTTACTAGTGGATTAACTCATTTTTAATGATATGGTATATTCAACCGGGAATTATTATTACAATATCAAACTTGCCATTAAAGGATAGGCTATTGTGTTTCAAATAATAAAAAGAACTTAAATATGTAATTCATTTCCCTCGTCTAGGAAGTGGAGACTCGGACTGCACACTGGAACCTGTACATCAATTTGGGTGGTTTTCTAGTTGGGCTGATTATGGTGACCCTGTTGGGCTCGTGGAGTGATCGTGCAGGTCGCCGTGTGGTTCTAATCATCCCATCCCTTGGCCTGGCTGTTCAGGCAGCCATTTATTTGATTGTAATGTACCTGAAGCTGCCTGTGTTCTGGTTTCTTATTGGGAGGATCTGCAGCGGCCTCTCCGGGGACTTCAATGCCATTTTGGCCGGCTGCTTTGCATATGTGGCTGACACGAGTGGCATGGGTTCTCGCACCTTTCGTGTGGCGATACTAGAGGCTTGTCTGGGATTGGCTGGCATGTTTGCGAGCATCATCGGAGGACTATGGCGACGGGCACAAGGGTACTCGGCAGCTTTTCAAACATAAAATAAAATTGTAATATTTCTTTCAAAAACAACAACAACAACATGTTTCCCTCCAGGTATATCAACCCTTTCTGGCTAGTATTTGCCACAAATCTTGCAGCGGCCTTCTACGCATACCTGTTTGTGCCTGAAACCGTCACCCCTGACCCCGGGGCAAAACTCCTCTCCACCAGGCATCACCGGGCCATCTACCACCTCTATGGATCTGACACGCCACAGGGACGCAGAACTAAACTATGGTTTTACATTATCTGCTTCTTTTTGGTGGTGTCTGTACATTTGGGCTGCAGTGACCTCTATGTGCTCTATGAGTTGAGTGCTCCGCTCTGCTGGGGTTCAGAGCTGATTGGTTATGGATCTGCGGCCAAGAATCTGGCCTACCTCACCAGCCTGATGGGGCTCAGGGGCATGCAATGCTGTCTGCAGGACTGCTGGGTGGCTCTGGTGGGCCTTACCTCTAATATTGTTGGCTTGATTGTGATTTCGGTCGCTGACACTACAGCTCTGATGTTTACCGGTAAGATCTTCTATATTCAGTTTATATACGCCACCGTTCAAAAGTTTGGGGTCGTAAGATTTTTTAATATTTTTGAAAGAAGTCTCTTATGCTCACCAAAGCTGCATTTATTTATTCAAAAATACAGTGAAATAGTAATATTGTGCAGTATTACAATTTTAAATTACTGTTTTGTATTTTAATATAAATTATATTGTATTATTTATATGAAATGTAATTTTAATGTATTAATTATTTTAGATCTATTTTAATATGTAAACATTCCATTCCTATGATGGCAAAGCAGCGATCTGAAGCATCACATTTGGGTATCACAAATCATTCTGCTGATTTGGTGCTCAAGAAACATTTCTTATTATTATCAATATTTAAAACAGTTGTGCTGCTTAATATTTTCTAAAGACACTATTTCTTGACATTTCAAAATATATACAGTGCTGAGGCAGCCTCATGCTGTCGTCCAGTGGCTGAAGTAGATAAATATGAATCAAGGAAATGAACTTGCAGAAGTTGCTTATCTATCTGTCTTTGTCAGGATATGGCCTGTGCTTCCTTTTTATGGCCTCTACCCCAGTCCTGAGATCTAAACTGTCCAAGCTGGTGGACCCTTCAGAACAAGGTGGAACAAGGATATCATTTTGTCATAAATTAGTAACCATTAGAATTAAGTGGAATAACATGTTTTATTATTATTATTTTGTCTTAGGTGCTCTGTTTGCTTCAGTGGCGTGTGTGGAAGGGCTGTGCTCACTAGTTTCTAGTGGGGTTTTTAACAGTCTGTACCCTGCCACCCTACACTTCATGAAGGGATTCCCTTTCCTCTTTGGGGCCGTCATCCTCCTCATTCCAGCTGGCATTATTGGGTAAGACCCCCTCAATGATTGTCATTTAGACTCTCAGTTTGAGAATGAATAACATATTTTTATTATGATGTTTTCAGGGGCTTGGGTTGCCAGGAGAGGAGAGAGAGCAGAACAAACAGAGAAGGCTCTGGAATATCTTGACAATTGACTTTGTGAGAGTTTTTATAGAACAGCAAAGGACAGAATGAGTCCAGGAATAAGCAATGATTTTGTTTTGTGCACAATTCGGATCCTAAAGTTGATTGCCAATAGAGTGCACAAATGGACTTGTGTCCAATTCATGATGACTTGGCCATGCATGTTCCTGTGATTTTGCCAAAACAACATTCCTGACCAAAAGTAAGTTTTTTTTTTTAAAAAAAAGAAATTATTCCCCAAAGATACATTGATTATGTAAAAAGTGGCATTAAAAACTTTTATGATATTACAAAATATTTCTATTTCAAATAACCTTCTATTCATTAAAAAAAGCATTGATAATTAGACATTTGTATCAAGAACCAAATCAGCATATTAGAATGATTTCTTAAGGATCATGTGACACTGAAGACTGGAGCTTTGGATCACAGGAATAAATTGTATGTTTGTTTTTTTTAAGCAGATGTGTGTACCGACTGTGAGTAAGCCATAATAAGTATGTGGATTTTCACAAAAAGTGTTAACACTGTGACAGGTGCTAACTAAACATCGTTTCAGCTTCCTGACCAGCCTGATACAGCAACATTAGCTCAACCAATGGAGTGAGTTTGGATCGGAAATTATCTGTCGACCACTGGGTGCCGGGGCAGTGTTTGAGAAACCTTGGTTATTGCTCACTGTAATCACTTTATTGTACCTCATCATGTTAACGTCAGCCTTTTTAATCTTTTGTCTTTTCTTCTTTGTAAGCAATAATGACCATTGCCACTTTCATAGAAAAAAAGTTTACAGAAGTTTTGTGTAGATTTATACAGGGATTTGAGAGGAGGCTCTCGGAATTGTGGCTTGTCTGTGTCGTTTCGTTTGCAGTATACTAACAGAAAGTGAAAATGACATCTTGTGATTTGTGCATGTCTGAAAGTGTCAAATTGTTTATCTCAGCAGAATATTTGATGAATACAGAGCAACAAGCAATTTTTTGTGGAACAATTGTATTATTTACATATATGAATATGAATAATTTTTTCAAAACCAGTTTTATTGCTGTTTATTTCTCAAAAAGAACATTTCATTATTTCATTGTACAGATTTTACACGTCGTATAAGACATGAAAGACAGACTGGCAAACATCATAAGGCAACAGTAGGGAGATCAATAGCAAGATAAAGCTTGAGGTGTCAAGAGGTGTTCACTAGCATTTTACTTGACCTGTTGAATCATCTTCACAGTGTCTGAAAATCTATCAGTGACTCAAATCTACTGCATAATATCCTTGCAAATTCTAAGAAAGCCTTTACAGCAGTATTTCAAGTCATGTAACTGTCTAAAATGATTTTTTTTTTCTAATACTGCATGAGGTGATGAATAACCATTATTTAGATGTGATTTTTTATTTGCTTTGTGAATGATGTAAGGTATGTCACAAAAGAATAACAGAAACTATATTTATAGAACTACAGTGTATTTGACGCTTTTAATAACCTACTGCAAACCGAATTTAGAAAAATTAAAAATTAACATTTCATAAGGCTTTTTTAATATTTCAATTGATAATGCTACAATGCAAGATTATCTAGTATTATCTATCATATAAACAGAGACTGATTATGGTTTATGCTGATGTCATAAATACGATTGATAAAGCAGAAATTGCTTAAACTTCCTGAGTTACAGAAATGTCCCACACAATTCTGGGAATATGGACCATGATTACTGCAATTGAGAAATATTCTTAGAATTAGAATAATCCTTAAGGCGCGGTCACATTTATTGTTCGGAATGCAACGCAATCGCAAAATTTTGTGTGAGGGTAAAAGATTTCCCTATGTAGATTTGACAACAGGTTTGGAGTTTCGCCACATTGACCACCAGAAAGCTGGCATGTTTGAAAGTGACTCTGTGTAAGCTGTGAATCATACATCACTACTCTATTGACGCGTGTACTTTTTTTTGCCAAAATGTCCCTAATGCGACGGCACCTTTAAAGTTTCATTGCGTCTCTGGGTAGATTACATTTATTACATTTTTTATCCCAAGAAAATTCAACCGTGATTTATCTAGACCAGCTACATGCATACAACCAAAGGGAACACTGGCCTCTGAGGGTTAACAGGAGAGTTCTGGTTACATGATGGCCATTATTGGGAACGCAACATTATTTTATTTCTGGCTCTTTTTTGTCTGTTTTTGCAGCATCTGGTTGCTCTTGGCTGGGGCATTGCGCTGTCTTGGAAACGCATCTTGGCTGTAGGAAGCGCAGAATCTTTTCGATAGTGGCTTCCTGATACTCATGGGACCACCTGTGACATTAAGAGAAAAGATTTACATTCATTATTTTTCCAATTAGATTAGTGCAAATCTCTACAATAAAAGCTCTTACAGGATATGGATCAGGATTATGTCACACATAGCAACGGGGTCAGCCCTGCCTCCTCACTAAGATGAAAGTTTTTGTCTTTTCCTTACTCAGAGTTGCTCTCAGATCGGTCCCAAATCGCTCAAAGCTAAGACTCCTACGTAAAAGTCTTTAAGCTAAATTAAGTACCTCATTAATTTAGCTTAAAGAAATTAATTACATGAATTACTGAGCAGGCACAAACTACAGCAGTACATGTTATATGTTAAAGAGTAACTCCACCAACATGTTTAGTGAGAGAGTGTTGACTTACTTAATGCCATTAAATTTGAGAACGGTCCTCATGTCCTCCGGCAGAGAGGCCGGATCGGGCCACATAAAGTTATCAGTGACAGGAACAATGTTCTTCTTCTCATTCAGAGCGGTGACAATCTCCTGTGGATGACAAAATAATCTGTTTAGCCTCACTGACAATATTAATACACATAATTACATACTTCAAAGTGTTGGCTTCAATTTGGCATTTTCTGAGAATAGATTTATGGATTCTCAAATAGGGATTTAGGTAAGGATGACTATGAATCAAGCCTTCAGTTTTCCAGTTGAAGTGCAGCATTTTTGTGTGAACTGAACATTGATCAGTGTAAAAAATGACTTTATTTATAAAAGTAAAAGGATTTCTCCCTCTAACCTTATGAACCCAGTCTTTCATTGCCACGTCGCCCATACATTTGTCCAACGCATTGGCTGACAGCACCAAGATGAAGTTTCGTGCTCGGTGCACGCTCGTGATCAGCTTCTCCTCGAACCTGCCGGCTTCCAGCTTCTCCACGTCGATGAAGACGCTGAAACCATGTAACTGTAGATGCACCTTCAGTAGGCTGCAGAGAAAGAAAAGAAATGGAGATTTGAGGTTTATTTCAAAACAATAAATGGTTGATATTCAAATTCTGTACTACGTCATCTAAATAAATTAAAAATAAGGATTTTAAAAAGCTACAAGAAAATTTAGGCATCACAAATAGTAAATCCATTTTTCACAGTATGAAATAATAGATTTATATTTTGAGATTTGCATTTGACAATTCAGGAGAGCAATCAAGACTACATTTAACGCCGTTATTAAATGAAAAGTGACTTAACTTTAAGAGTTACGTGGTCAAAGTAATCAAAAAACTTTTGTTACTGAACAGAAAAGAGACATCTCATTTGTGGTCTGACCTTGCAAGCTGTGAACCCGTAGTGCGACGGTAGCTGATGAACACATCAGGCCCTGCAGGCTGAGAATCAGTTAGCTGTTTAGCAGGGCATCTGGCGGTAGAAAGGATCTTGGCACGATGGATGCCATTCTCTACATGGCAGTCAGACAGCAACTGTTCGTCTGTGATCTTGGCAATATTGTTGCGATCAACTCCGGACTGAATTAAGCCGTAGGTGTACTGACGGAATCGCGGGTCTACATCGGCCAGCCAGTCTGCCAGGTTATTGGGGTCACATGTGGAGTAGTTGGCGTAGGTCTTCAGGACACGCAGATCTCTAAGAAACCTGTACAGAGGTCATCAGAGAATTGCTACAGGTTATGATAAAATGCTTTTTTTTTTCATTTCATTGAGAATTCAGGTTTACTATCACACGAATTAATCACATTTGAAAATAGTAATAATTTCACAATATATTTCTTTTCATTTCTCAAACTCCAACAACATCCAGGTTTATTTTCAGGTTTAGATTTGATTTTGAATCTTTTGGACCCTAATTATGATTATGAGCATTTCTATAAATATCTTTTAAGAATGAATACTTTTCCAAGAATTAAGTAGCACTAGCCTCTTCCGAGTGAGCCCAGATGTCATGGCCAGATCTTGGATCAGATCCTGTTCTGTGATGTTGAGCAGTAGATCTCCATCCACCTGTAGTTCCTGAGAGATATGGTGCAGAAAACTGTGATTAAGTCCACAGCAAACATCGGCATGATATCATCATATCTTTCACCATTATCTTGTTCAGCTAAACAGGAAATAGGAGCTGTGTACAAACCTGGAACCGTTCAGTGAATGCAGCGAAGCCAATCTGCTGAAGCCAGGTCTGCACCTCTCCACTCTTCCAGTTGGGTACAGATGACAGGATACGCTTCGGGACGTCCTCACTCATCATTGTTAAGGCCCGCTTAGCCAAAGAGCAGACAGTGGCATTACTAGAGTACATGACGATCCTCTTTAGACTCTGGACAGCCCCAATCTCCTGAAATATCTGAGTAGAAAGATCCAATACTTAAAATTCATTAAATGTATGATTAAACTTTATATATTTTAGGGCTGTCAAACGATTAATTGCGATTAATCGCATCCAAAATAAAAGTTTGTGTTTACATAATATATGTGGGTGCATTGTGTATAATTATTTTATATATAAATACACACACATGCTTGTATATATTTAATATTTTCATGTATATACTGTATATAGATTTATATTTCATTTTTATTATACATAAATATAAATATTTTACATATAAATAATATTTTTTTTCTTAAATATACATGCATGTGTGTGTATTTATATATATACAAAATAATTATACACAGTGCACCCACATATATTATGTAAAAACAAACTTTTATTTTGGATGCGATTAATCACGATTAATCGTTTGACAGCCCTAATATATTTTGGATACTTGTGCCTTAGTTATTATATGATTATATGTTTTTATATTGTATAATAATTATTATTCGATTTTTCTAGACCCTGAACAGCTCCACTCTCCTGAAATACCCGGGTCGAAAGATCCAGGATTTTAACTGATTTATTAAATGTATGAATATTTTATTTAATATATATTACTAATTCTCATGTCTGGTACTGTTTATCTGTGTATTAATTAAATAAACTTATATATATATATATATATATATATATATATATATATGAGAGAGAAAGAGATATTTATATAATATTATATTTTATATAAATATATATTATATACTATATACTAAGACACATGCTCTCACACATTTCAGCTAACAGGGAACATTCTGAAAAAGTTATGAATAAGTGTTCTTCCAGTAATGTTTTTTGAAACATTTTAGTTTAGGCATTAGTCTAATGTTTTGAAAACGTTTCTACTCGCTATTTGCTTTAATTTCTACTTGCTTTAACGTTTCTACTTGCTTTTTTCAGATGGTTTAGAGAACATTCGAATACAACTTTCCCATAGTACTTTTGTTAATGTTCCTTAATGTTTTCTCTAACATTCACATAACCAAGCCAAGCATTTTTTTAGTTTTTACATTTAAAAAACTTGATGTTTTCAATGCTCTGAGAACATTCAGAAATAATGTAACTTAATGTGAACATTAGCAAATTCATTGGAACATGTTGTTAGTTGGGGAAGGCCTAGAGAATCAAATATAGTGTCTGTCTGACCTTGGTATTACGTTGACGGGACTTGATACTAGTCTCCACACACAGGTAGAACGCGGCGATGCATTTCCCCTCTAGACGTGTGCCGTCCAGCAGAGGCAGCAAGTGCTGCAAGTCTGTCGCCGTGCGGCCCTGCATGCTGTCTGCGCTGTCCAAAAGGTTGCGTGCAAACTCATCAGGGTCTAAGGAGGCGATGAAGGGCTCCACCAGCTCCAGAGTACCAGACTTCACCACTTCTTTCTCTATCTCCCTGTTGGCCGCCAGTACAGCCACGGCCAGGCAGGCATGGAACCGGATCAGCTCGTCCTCTTTGGAGAACGCCAGAGGGAACAGCCATTCAGCCGCCTGTTTTTCGATCATCAGACGCTGGCAGGTGTGCCCGCCATGCATGGCGCAGTTTGCCAGGGCCACAGCACAGTGCCGCAGTACAGTTGGGTCTGTTCCACGGCACCAATACAGGAGGGTGTCCAGTGCCCCGTTAGTGATGAGTTGCGCAGATGTCTCCTCTGTGTGTTTAAACATGTGCTCAAGGATGCCCGACACACTTCGTGCCAGCTGGGCGTCCTCTTGCTCACGGGTCAGGTTCAGTATGACCCCAAGGCCCATACGTGCCACATAATCCCTGCAAAGAAATACAAAAATTAGCATTTAAAAGAATTCTGATGCAAAAGCCTTCTGTCCAACAAATACACTATAGTAAGTCAACCAAGTGGCACCTACAAATACGGTAAATGACACAAGACCCTTTTAAATTTATGAAGTGGCCTTAAGCTCACAAAAGTAGTAAAACTGTTAAAACTGTTTCAGAAAGCAATATGTGTTCCAGAACTTCTGCCACATTTTTTTTATATTCTTTTATATTATTTACATTTACATTTATGTAGGCTATGTATCTTCAGCACAAGCTTTCTCCTATCTTCAGAGAAGCTGCTCAATGCAGAGCAAATGGGTGGAGCTTACGTGTAGCTCCAGCGAGGAGGAGCGAATGTAATTTAGGTCTAATGGGTGGAGCTAGAATATCCAACAACATTCTACCTACTACCCAAAACTCTAGCCCTTCACCCTAATTCCCACCCCATTGGAGCTCCAGAGAAGAGGAGCTGGCCATCATTTGACTCTGCAGTGAGTGAGTACCACTTTTGTCTTACAGAGAAAACATTAACGGTAAAATTCGCTTTACTGACTAACTGACTAACATGTTTATCGATATCTTTAATAATTACTTATAATTATTAGTAAATATGATTCCAAATAGATCTGACGCAATTATTGAAAAGAACATGATGCTAATCGAGAGGTTTTTGTTTACGGACCAAAAGAAGCATGTCCCGCAGTGTGGTAAGAAATAAATGTAACCTACTGATAGGTCTATATAGGTGATATCAAGGTGATAAATCACATTGGCAAATTATTGCTTATTAATTTTTGTAATGTCTGTAAATATATATTTCATATTTTAAAAACCATATTGTGCTTAAGTTATTTGTTGCTGAAGAAATTTCAAATCTGGGTATATCCTACCCTGTTAAATATATAACGTTAAATCTTAGGCCAACATATTAATAGACACATTTAATCTTATTTAAAAATAGGCTAACATTGGGGGAAAGTTAAAGTAATAGAGATCTTTAACTACGTTCTATTTCTAAGAAAACTTTCCTGGAACCAAAAACAAACCTTAAAACCAAAAATTGGTAGCTGGGTTCCATTCATTCCTATTTAACTGTAATTTGACGTTCAAATACATTTCAGGGCCCATTTGAAACATACCGGTAGCCTAGGCTACTTTATGTTCCCTTACCTGTTTTCTGAGACCAATATCTGCTCAAGCAGCTTGGCAGACTCATAAGTGATTTCTACAGCTGGGGTCTGCAACAGCTGCAAGAGCAGATCCAGACCCCCATCCAGTCGGATCCTGTTGCAGATCTCCTCTGCTACCTGTCGACCCACTGTGGGCAGGACCCAGGCCTCCTCAACCAGCTGGAAAGTTTCAGCAATGGCTCGGCGAGTCTCTTCCATATCTCCTGTATCTTTGGAAGACTTCAGCGTTTTGACTGCGGAGCGCAACGCCGGAAGAGAGGCTTCCAACACGACCTGGACATCAGTGCTGATTCCCGGAGACACAGCCCTGGGGCCGGAGCCCGTCCTGCGGTTGTGTAGCCGACTACTGACATATCCAGGAACCGTGAGTCTGTCGGAGCTAAACATGGAGAAATAACGGCAAATCTTGCTGATATAAACGGCAAGGGACAAAAACATGAATGCCAGGTGTTTGTCTGTTGTTACCACAGTTCTGACGTTTCTTTGTCTTTCAGCTGTAACAAAGAAATAATCACGTCGGGTTAACTCATTACGTTATTAAATCGCAATGCGAAACAGTTTAATCCATTAACAGCGACTGTTTGCAATAAACGACAGAATACTGCTGATGTTAGGAAACAAAAAAATAAACGCAAATGACGTCAGAAACGTTAGCAAAGCCTTAAAGATACCCTTTACGAATCCACCGTTAGAAAAGGCCCATCAAGCTTGATTAAAAACCATGAAATACCAAGATGAAGCTGCAAGACTGACTTGATCTTTAAGGGAAAAATTAGGCAAAATTTGCCGGTTAGTCGATGTAGGCAATCGATCAGATCTTTTCAGGCAAAGACGAATATTTCCACTGTCCTTTTGCCACACTCGGAGAAATTAGGCTACTATGAAAGCCAACTAAAGCGATATGCCTGGGCTACTTATAAAATAACAATATGATGCAGTCATATTTTGGATGAAGTCAAGATTGTTGATAATGGATGCTGCTGAAGCATCCTCAGCGTCCGCTTGTAGACCCGCCCAGTGATGTGAAGAATCATCAACCTCGGCATCAAAAGGGGGCTCTGCAGACTCAAATGATGTCCAGCTCCTCCTCTCTGGACGTCTGATGGGGTGGAGGGATAGAGTTTTGTGGAATGCTTGGCTCCACCTGCTGGAGAAAGACGACAATGCACCAAACCTACCATAAGTGCATGTAGGTAAGGGTAAACCCCACATTCGGAAATCATTAGAAACCACACAAAACACCTTTGAAACTGCACAACAACACACTTAAACACCAAGAACACATTAGTAACCACATACAAACATAATAGAAAATGAAAATATCATGTTTGTAAGCAGTTGTGCAAGGTTATGTCTGTGTGTAGATGTTGACAGACAGGTTACAAAATGGTAACCTGCGTCCAATGGACCTATTAATCATTCACTTTTCACAGAAGTCAACAGGGTTATTTGTCCCTATATGCATTCCCACATTAGTCTAGGAAAGTATGTCATGGTGGACTCTGACTAGAAACAGACTAGAAAGTTGTAAACAATCATTACTTGTTTTGTCATACCTTTAAATGGATCACTCAAAATAATGTAATCCACAAAAACATTCAAAGTCATTTACTATGACCGGATTTATTAACGTTAATATTATTTAAGTTAAAGAAATGTTACATAAAGTAGTCCTCATAAAACAGCTTTGTTAGTAGAAAGCAAAACAATCCCTGTCTGGTTTTAATGATTTCATTTGAACAAGGATGAAAACATATTGCAAAAATTAAGCAAACAAAAGAGGGTAAGTGACCTCTGAATCTATTGATCCACTGATTTCTCTTTGGTCCTGATGGTCTCAGTTCTTCAGTCACTAGACACCAGAATGAGGCTTCTTTTGCTGCTAGGATTGCTTTTCTTTACATATGCGGCTGAGCAAGGTGAGAACTCTTTTACTTTTTATAACGTTTTGATGTATATTGTTGGTGCTATGTTGGAAATGTGCTCTTCTTCCTGTCAGAGTCGTGTATTGAGCGCTGTGAAAATGGGTTTGACGCCACCAAGAACTGCCAGTGTGACTCTATGTGCACATACTACAAGAGCTGTTGCACAGACTATGAGTCCTTTTGTCGTATTAGGAGTAAGTTTACCATATTTCATAAACATGTGTAATGCAATGATTAAAACAGATGCATGAGAAACTTTTCTTGTTGCAGCCCGTGGAGACACCTTTCCTTCTTACCCTGAGGATGATTACGATGAGACAAATAGCACAGGGGTACCAATCAGATCCAGATCACAGCAAAGAATCTCAAACCCTTCTCCAGCAACCTTTGCTGATAGATTCAGCCTATTAACACCAACTTCTCAAATCCCGGATTCAACGTTAGATGATAACCCATCACCAGTGATTTCCACTGCTGCCACTCCAACTACACATCACCCTCTATTACCCTCCACCATCAAGACCCCAACAACAACTGCACGAACAACCTCAACTGCTGATCTCACACCAACAAAAGCCAAAGACCCTGACGCTGAGGTCTGCAGTGGCAGACCCTTCGACTCCTTTATGCAGCTCAAAAACAGCTCTATATATGCATTCAGAGGTAAGTGCCTCACCGCAAAGAACGAAAATGTAACAAATACAAATACAAAATGACTTTACATTTTTTACCGTTGTAACATGTAGTCAGTTTTTTGGGTTTTTTTTGTTTTACCTACCTGAGTTCCTAGTTAGTTTCCTTGGTTATTAATTAGCTCAATGCCAGTTCTGTTATAGTCAATAGTCCTCTGTGTATTTAAGCCTTCAGTTTGCTGTGTTTCATTGTCTGGTACGTGATTATGTTTGTTCATTCCCTGTTGAATTTATTAGACTGTTTCTGTTCATTACACCTTTGTCCATTACTCCGTGGCAACACCAATGTAAAAATGAACATACAATTATATTTACTACAGGTAGATTTAAAAAAAAAATATATATATATAAATTAATAAAAAAAAAAGGTAAAGGAAAATAAAAGACAAAAAATAAACAAAAAGTTTTGCTGTATTTCTGTAATTAAACTCTTATGATGGTTCAATATTTGTTCTTCTTCTTATATTCATTTATTCTCTTTTACACACTTGTTTTATTAAAAATGTGATATGTTTGTCACCAGGACTATATTTTTTTGAGCTTGATGAGAAATCAGTATTACCAGGGTACCCAAAGCTCATTGAAGACATCTGGGGAATAAAAGGTCCAATAGATGCTGCCTTCACTCGCATAAACTGCCAAGGAAAGACATACATTTTCAAAGTATGAATGACCTCACATTATTTAGTGTATATACAGTGTGAAAAGTTTATTTGTGTTTACAATAAAGTAGTCTAAATAGTCCCAATTCAAATTTCTTTAATCAAAGTTATTTCATCCGTTTAATGCGTGATTAAAAAAGACAATATTTTATTATATTATTCCCAGGGTAATAAATACTGGAGGTTTGATGATGGAGTGCTAGATGAAGACTTCCCACGGGACATATCTGTGGGATTTGAGAAGATACCAGACCATCTTGATGCTGCCTTTGCCATTCCTGCTCACAGCCATCATGGCAAAGAGAAAGTTTATTTTTTTAAAGGTCAGACCTATTTATATTAGGCCTGTCAAACGATTAATCGCGATTAATCGCATCCAAAATAAAAGTTTGTGTGTACATAATATATGTGGGTGCACTGTGTATTATTATTTTATATATATAAATACACACGCATGATTGTATACATTTAAGAAATATTTTCATGTATATACTGTATATAGATTTATATATATATATAATATTTTTTTCTTAAATATAGATGCATGTGTGTGTATTTATATATATATACAAAATAAGTATACACAGTGCACCCACATATATTATGTACACACAAACTTTTATTTTGGATGCGATTAATCACGATTAATCGTTTTAAATGTAATTATCTTTCATTAATCTTTACTAAACAAAGTATATGTTTCTTCTTTCTAGGAGACCAGTATTACCAGTATGAGTTCAAGCACCAGCCATCCCATAAGGAGTGCATTCAGATGTCATTGAGATCTCCCTCAGCACTCTTCAGCAGATACACTGATATTTACTACGACCGATGGGTTGACCACTTCAACCAGCTCTTTGGTGGAGGTAATACTTTTTTAGGCCAAGCTATCAATATTATGCACCTGGGAAAGCTTTCATAACACAACTTTTAATTGCTTTTTTTCCAGCCCAAAGTCATCACGGTGGCCATCACTTCATCAACAAAGACTGGATTGGGATCAAATCACCCGTGGATGCTGTGCTAGCCGGCAGACTCTACGTCACTCCGAGATGGCCCAACAGAAGCCGTCAGGACAGAAATCGGCAGGATTGGGACCAGCAGTGGGGCCAACGCTATGGGCAGGAGTGGGGTCAGCAGTGGGGACAACGCTATGGGCAGCAGTGGGGCTCCAGGCGCAGGCAGAATAGGTCACCATACTGGGAAACTATGGCTGAGAGGGGCATCAGCATTGGACATGAGTATGCTGAGAGGTTTGGGCAGGACAGGTGGCAAGATCAGGACAGACGGCAAGATCAGGACAGACGCAGAGACTATTATTATAGACAAAATGACTACGATTCTGACTACAGGTACAAACCTTCGGAAGACATTGTCCATGACATGCTGCAAAGGCGTCAGCCCTTACAGAGTGTCTACTTCTTTAAAGGAGGTACTGAAATTTAAATGATAGTAATATCTAAGCCTACAGTATATTTATATTATATTATATAAGTATGCAAAACAATTTCTTTACAGATATGTACTACAGAGTGAATCTCCGAACGAAGCGGGTTGACTATGCAAACCCTCCCTACCCAAGACCTATTGGAAAATACTGGCTTGGCTGCAAAGACACGTCAGGAGCAGAAAAGAGATGAGTCCAACTGTAAACAAACTGCCATTTAATAGTATTTATCATACAGGTATACAAAAATAAGCTGCATTTGTGAGGTCAAAAATAAGGGTGATATGTAAGGCCTTATAGAATCTCTCCACAGATTTCTACACAATGGATTGACATCATTCATAAATATTCCTGATTGTGGTGTGATTGATAAAGCTCAGTGGACACCATGCAGTTTTTAGTCTAAAAGATAACATTTCAAATAAACAGATATATGAATTGAATGATAAAAGCAACTGCATGAGAGGAATTTAAAGGCTGAAGTTGCCATGAGCTTCGCAACTTAGGGACAGTTGTGCAATCTTTCAATAAACAATGTTTTTGACCTAAAAATATTAAGTCATTATTTCTTTGTAATGCATTTCATCAGCGTGTGCCTAAGCAAGTCCTCTCGGAAAAAAATATGAAGAGAAATCTCTTTAAAAAGGTCTAGGTTTAGCTTCTCCAGCACAATAAAAGGGTGTTTCTAGTCATTTTTGCTGCCAACTATCAATATCATTCAAATTTCCAGAAAGTGTTTTGGCACATTTCATCAGATTATTGTGGTTTCTTTCTATATCCAAAGATTGAGTACTGCCAATATCAAGCAAATTGAATTTATCTACATAACCCCATATTACAACTAATCAGTGTCATTCTGCCAAGAACAACTGTGCTGTAGTGATGCGTGTAAATACTAATCTTTATGTATCTCGCATAGAGAAAGAGATGCCAAAAACCAAGATATGTAAATACACACTTACATGGCCTTTAGATAAAACGCTCGAGGAGATCCAAGACGCAAGCCAATAATATTTTTTCTACATTGTTATGAAAGTTATTTCATGCATAATTGCTGTAGGGTTCATATCTTGGCCCAGGACCAATTACACTACCATTCATATGTTTGGTGTCTGTACGATTTTTTTTTTTTTTTTATGTTTTTGAAGTAGTAGAATTGAATGTTTGTAACAATGTAAAAGTCTTTACTTTCCAAAGTCGGTCTTTTGATCAAATTATTGCAGTATTATCTTTTCTTTAAAAAAAAAAAGAAAAAAAAAAGAAATATATTGACCAAGTATTTGAAAGTCTGTGAATGTAAACAGTTACTTATGGGTTATAAAGGGAGCATGAAATCATATCAACAAACAAAATTTTCGATGTAGATATGTTTATACAGTTTATGCCAAACTTACAGAAAATTTGCCCTTTAAATCAGTAACTTTAAGATTCAGGAATATTATGAATGATTTACATAAACATTCTCATAACATGGCTCATTTTCTGATTGGTCCATAACGGTTTCATTAATAATAATCTCTGAAGAGGTGACCCCATCAGACGGAGCCACAGTCTCATAAGCGTGCTCTGTCAGAGCGTCTGTCTCACAATCTACTTCAGTGTCTTGCTCCACCTCTAAACTATGGAGGGTTTCGCTCTCTGGGACACTTTTTAAAACAGAGGACAAGGGCCTCTTCGGGGTGCTGTTCTCCTGAGGAAAGTCTGTTGCCCCTACTGTGCAGGGAGAGCTGAGGGAGCTGTGTTGCCTGCGACTAGGCTTCCTCATGACCACCTCTGATTGGCCGGACCCAGAAGTTTGCTCCCACGCACTGGCCCGTGCTCCCAGTTTCTTCCGCGGGGGCTTGGCAATCGCCTGCCCCCTGCCTTTGGGCAGGGCAGCCTCCTCTTTTTGTCTCTGCAGGCTGCCTAGTCTGCGCAGCATCGCCTGAACGGGCCCTTCTGAAGGTGGCTCTTGCTTAGCCATCTTTTGGGTCTTGCCTACAGTCACATAAACAGTTGTTAACTTCTCTGAATCTGCATCTGAATGGCTGCCATCAGATGGCTGGGTGTTCTTCCTGGTATTGGAAAGTGTGCGTCGTCTCCCACCGGGCACAGTGAGGTGAGTCCTGAGCGGGCCAGAACCATATCTTGCCGAGTCAGATTGTGATGTTTCAGAGGCAGCTGCTTGTTCCTCAGAGGAGATGCTCTCCTCATTGTTTTTTTCTTCCTTTTCTGTTTCTATCTCACTATGGTTTCCCTGTCCTCCTTGCAGAGCAGAGATCATCAGCACGCCCCAGGCTTTGGGTTTCCGAGTAGTTCCTGGCAGATCTTGGGTTGAGCTACGGCGCTCTTTAGAGGTGAACTTTGTGCCCTCTGCAAAAGACACTGAAGGGCGTTTGGATTTGGCTATGCTGGAGGTACGAGGGATACCAAAATCTTGTGACATGTCCTCGCTGCTGAAGGTTGATGGGTCAGGGAAGAAGTTACACTTGGAGTTCAGCTCCTGTAGCTCTCCACCGGCCACTGTAAGAACATCTGGGAGAGAGCGTGTAAACATGAATCAGTATATTACATACTTACATACTTTCACATTACAGTTGATTATGGCGCAAATCTGACTTTTTTCCCTCACAATAGCTGTGGTTACATCCAAAGTTGCAAATTTGACTTAAATTAGCGCTAAATTGGATTTTCGCATTAAAACATTTGCGAGTAAAGCAGCGTTTCCATCCAATGAGTCGAAGAGAACAAAATCGTCACTTTCTGATAAACTAGCACTAAATATCACAAATAAAAGTGGAAGTTGCTGCAATAGGAGCAGTTTTTTTTAGCAATCTCCCAAATGTGCTTAAAAATAGGTGGATAGAAACATAGCTAGTGACACATCTGATTTTTTAAAACAAATATTATATGCTAAATATTTTTTTTTTGCAATGTGGCTTTAGTGTGAACAGTCAGAGGTGGAATAAATGCAATTTTTGCGAATTCTAAAATAATGATTTATGAATTTGGGGGATCTAAGAGTTATTTTAAAAAGATGAAATTAGTACTTTCGTTCAGCAAGGATACATAAAATTGATTAAACGTGACAAACATTTATAAAGTTACAAGATATTTCTGTTTCAAATAAATGTTAACATTAACATAAACAAATTAAGCGTCATAACATCGATAATAATAAGAAATGTTTCTTCAGCACAAAAGCATCATATTATAATGATTTCTGAAGGATCTGAAATTCAGCTTTGCATCACAGGAATAAAATTACATTTTAAAACAATAAAATAGTAAAACATTATTTTAAAAATGTAATAATGTTCCAAAATGTTACTGTTTTTTACTATATTTTTATTTTAAAAGAATATAGTCTTAAAAAACTATGTATGAATGGTGTATAAATATAGGTTACATTGCATAGATTTAAGTGTTCTTTTAATATTTATAATCTAATATGCACTTTTTAAATTTGATATAACAACAAAATATTAAAATATTATTAAATATAATTGATTTATTAAAGAGATCTCATTTAGGTATTGTCTTATGGGAGCTCACAATAACAGCTAAAAAAATAGAGTAACTAGAGTAAAAAGGACATTGAGACTAGAAATATAACTACCTTCCCTGGGCGGTTCACAGTAAATGGCCTCTCCTTCATCATCAGTTTCAAATGAATCAGTCACCCAGCCGGATGATGGCTGCTCAATGAAGCTGTGGTTAAATGTGAGCTCGGGATCATGATGAGAGACTGAAGACACAGTGGAGAACATTATAAGTCCACTTACGCAAGCCAAAACACAAACTCGCTTGCATAGTTTCTCCGTGACAGCTGCAAATGAAAATAGCTGCAAATGAAAATAGATGCATTACCTGTAACCCTGGGTAAACCAGATGACCAAAGAGTAATGCATGGCATAGCTGCACCCATGTTGGCCAACACAGTGTAAACATGGTGCTTCATGCGGACAGTAAGGCTCACATCCTCAACCGCCACTCTGAAGGACAGATTTAGCAGACGATTTTCTTATTGTTTACAAAATTAAAAGACATTTTTTGTATTATATCAGCTGCCAGATAACAAATTCATACCCTTCCTTCCCTTCGACAGGCCTGCCGCAACAGCAGCAGCAAAACAACAAGGCGAGTATTAAAATGCACAGAGGAATCAAAAGCCCTGCTATGAGACCTGCTCTGCTACCTAGCAGACAAACACACACACACACACAAAATAAATAAAGGGGATGTGGATACCAGCAGTGAAAACCAAACTGTAGTGTCTGTACATACTATTTGGGCAAGCTCCTGTGGCTGGATGGCAGGCATGATTCCCACAGTCACATGTTGAGGAGCAGTTGACGCCATACAGGTTAAGAGGACATGAGCTGTTACAGCTACAGAGATTTAACAGTGAGAGACCTTATACCTTATTTTTAAGTTAAAAACAACCTATAAATACCACTGTACCCTCACCTCTCACCCTGGAAACCAGGAAGACAAATGCAACTTCCTGTCACATGGTCACAGTGGCCATGATAGCAGGTTTTACACAGGAAGTGGCAGCCATCTCCGTAAGTACCATTTGTGCAGGGTTTGTCACATCTGCAGAGAGGGAGAAGCCCAAAATAAAGTCAACTAGGAGATATAAAATCTACCCCGTGTCAAAATCTAAGATAGCTCAATAGCTAGAAAAATAAATGTGTACAGTGGCCTGCCCAAAAAAGAGTTTGGACATTTAAGCCACACTTAAAATGAATTTCATTGCTGTAGATATAATGCTTGTTAGGCTTTAAATTGAGGGTATCGCCAGATTTCTCAATTCCATTTTCATTTGATAAAATTCATATTAATTTAGGTATTCTGTTACATCAAGTTTGCTTACATAGGAAAGAAATCTATTGGTGTAAATAATGGCCTGCAGTGACTTATTAAAACCTATACCTCTTCTTTTTCAACTATTAAATAGACTGGCTTATTAAGAGTCCTTTATTTGTGAATGGGACACTGGTTGTGCTGTATGTTGTTGATTCAAGAAACAGCTCATAAGAGTCATTTGTTTGTGAATCAAACTACACAGGCCACACTGTATGATGTTTCTGATTCACTAAAAATAACTAACTCATAAGAGTCGTTTGTGATTCAGGCTACACTAGTCACGTAAGGACCTATCAGCCAGGTCATGAACAAACTAGATATTTCTACGATAAGGTTTGTCATCTAATGTGATTAAGTGCATTCCTTTTTAGGCCACTGTAGTTTGCCATATAGTAAATAAGACAATAGGATGTTCTTTTCAGAGCTGAATCCCAACAGATCTGTACCTTGGTCCAGTCCACCCAGTATCACAGTGTAAGCATGCTCCAGTTTCCGGGTCACATGGGTCCATATTTCTGCAATGCGCACAAACCTCTTGGCAGCGATGGCCATAATAACCTGCAGGACAGCTCTGGTCACAGCGAGTGCCATTCCACCCTGGTGCACAGGCATCACACAGGCCGTCCTGTTTAGAGCAAGACCTGCCTCCTTCACAGTGTCCACAGCTACACACACAGAAAGGAGAACAGAAATCATGGATGAACCAAAAATGTATGTTATGTTTTTAATCCTGCCCTTTTCACTCACCTCTCCTTACAGCCTCGGCCGTACTTTCCACTCTCACAAGGTTCATTGCAGACAGAGCCTTTGTAACCCGGGTAGCACAAACAGGTGCCAGTTTGCAGGTCACAGTCGGAATGGCTGAGATTACAATTACAACGGCGGTCACAGGACGGACCCCACCAGCCACGAATGCACTGACAGGCCCCTGTGCGCTGCAGGCAGGGGGACACAAAACAGTTGCATTGCAGGCTGCACTTTTGGCCCCAGTAGCCCTCATTACACAAGCAGCGGCCCGTGGCTTGGTCACAGGTGGATGTTGCGGCGTTGCACTGACAGGCTTTGGAGCAAGTGGACGTCCACCAGCCCTCCTCACAGTGGCAGTTGCCGTAGACAGGGTCACATTTCCCATGACGTGAACATTTGCAGCTGTTTTGGCACAGGTTGCCCCAGCGGTTAGACAGGCACGAGCACTCACCCGTAACTGGGTCACAGAGCCCATGAGGGTGACAGGGGCAAAGCTCACGACAATCCGCCCCCCAAAATTCATGAGGACAACCTGCGGAGACATACGAATTCAGATCCGTAGTGCAATAACTAGAATCGCACTACAATGAAAACAATAGAAAATAATATTATGAAAAAAAAAAAATATATATATATATATACATACATACATATATTCGGTTTTGTTTTGTCAGAAATCATTTTTATAGAACAGTTGCTGTCCTTGAATTTGAAATCATCAATTACATATTAGCTACACACCTGGCAACAAACGAACGTCACGATCCAGAAAATGTATATTTAATGGTATTATGTAGATATATTATACTTTTAATTCAAAGAAAATATCAATTGTTTTTTAAGTGCCATACATGTTTATGCGACGTTTCCGTTGCATTTACAGTGTTGAGCAGCAGGTGCCGACAGCCTGTTTGTTTCGCGTGCCTCTAAACAGTGAATCATTTTGCGAAGCATTTGATTCAGAGTTTCGAAAAATGCTGCGTTGTTGTCTCCCATAGGCTACTGTTTGGAAACAGCTTGATTCTGTTATGGAACTATAGTTGACGGAGGGAAAACAAAGTAGCCTAACTGACAATATTGTGTCTAAAATGTAGGTAACTCAATATTAAATAGGTTAGTTGACTCAAACTTGAAGCAGAATCACACTTGTATCAGGCATTCTTGCTAGTTTGTAAATCTCTAACCTAAAAGCCACAGCTGTACAAAGGTAGTCTTGAAAACAGAAACCTAGTGTGATGATATTAGGCGACTTACGGGCTTTACACTGGTACCCGTAAAATCCAGGTTTACATCGACAAAGTCCAGGGTAAACACACACTTCGTCCTGCAGACAGGCTCTTTCCCCCTCACAGAGAGCTGAGAAAACAAAAAGGGAAACTTTACAAACAAAACTTCACAAAACTGCTGACATCCACAGGCCCACAGGAAACGGGTCTGGTGTGTCATCAATAAAACAACAATTTAATCCATTTTATATTAAATTTATATTTATCTACAGATGGTATCAATACTCACGGACAGTGCATTCATCACCATTTTGGCCCCATCCAGGACAACATGTGGGAGAAGAATCCCTGTTTAGAAATAGCAGACATTTTATATTCTGATGGATTGAATCTAGCCTACTGACCTAATAAATAGGGAAACATTATAAGTAAGGGAGAAAAATAAAAATTGGGTTCATAACACAAGAAACTTCTTATAAATCACAAATAAGAACTCCACTGTTTCTCTTAAACAGTTTGAGATTTAATTGAAAGAATTTGAAGACATCTCAGATTTTTTTCCATAGAGTTTCAGAAGAAATATCAGTAGTCTCTCAAAATGATCTAAAAATGTCCCAATATTTATGATTTTTTATTTGATCAAACAGTTTACATTGAAACTATCAAACTGCCTTGTCAATGTGATTCACTTTCATTTTATAGTTCTCTATTATTACTGGACAATATGTAGAACAATGACACAAAATTTTAGGACATATGAGACAATGATACTTCAGCAAAACTGAATTCTGGACCAGTACCTGATACTGCGGCAGATATTCTTCCCGGTTGGAGAGAGTCTCTGAGCTGAGCATTGGACACACATGAGCATCAGTCCAAATGAGGTCAGAAAGGTGTCCATCCCCTCTGGACCAACCAGAACCGAACACCCTCTCCTACCACGGCACCAGTCCAGGGTAGTTCTGTACTTCTGCAATAGAAAAGATCCAGTCCAGTCTCTGTAGCAAAATGAGCTCTCCAATTCTCTTTGTTTCCTCTGCAAGTTTCCTGAGGAAGAAAAGCCAACTTCCTCTAATTCAATAAGCCTCTGGTTGTTTAAAGACAAAATCAAGGCCCAGAATTTCGGGGAGGAGTTAGATATTTTTAATGGTCAGTCTGCCTGCCAACATTTTCTCATCCTTACCAATTACTTTCATATGGAAAAAATAAAATACAAATTAAATACAAATATTAGAACATTTTACTGACTATAAATGGACTTTTGTTCAGAATACAATGATCTCTTATGGTCAAAAATCACACACACGAACATCACAATAACCCCTAAAGCTTTTATTTAGCTTCATAGCACTTTAACAAACATGTTTGCAAAAATAAAACAGTAAAAAGTCAGTATAGGACTCATTCACTGTTATTTCCAATGGTCCAAAAAATAAACAGATGAGTCACAGACAGCTAAGGAATACAGAATTCGGGCCTTTAAAACATATTCGCATCCATTAACTCTAATTTCCTCTTGAGGAAACACAGACTTCCTCTCAATCAGGGAACACCATGCATACAAAGTATATTTGAATCACATCCACATTTTTGCTTATTTTAAATGAATGGCTAAAGAGGTACCAACTTATTAAAGATATAGTTCAGCAAAAAATGAACATTTTGTCATCTTTTACTCGCCCCATGCACATTGTTTCAAACTTTTATGACTGACTGACTTCTGTGGAACAAAAAATAAGATGTTTTGAGAGATATCCAGTGTTTTTTCATTTTGTATTCTTCAAAATTCTTAACACATGTCTTAATATTTATTTAATTCTTTTGTGTTCTGCAGAAGAGTCAAACAAGTTTGGAATGAGATGAGGCTGAGGAAATTATGACGAAATTGAAATTTTTTAGTGAACTCTCCCTTTAACAGATCAGACAAACATTTAAGCATCGCTTTTTTAACACAAGGTTAACAATCATGGACATCTCCACAAAACTGGCATTGCATGACTTTAAAAAAATTGTTAGAAGCAAACATTAAAATATTTCTATTTAAAAACATGCTGAAAATCCTTATAGATACTGTATCCTTAAAAAAAATATACTTTTTAGGGACAGCTAATGTTTTACCAACAAATAAAATACTTGATCATGATTGAATACAGAATACTATAATGCCCCCTATTGACATAAAAGGGTCAGTGTGATTATCTCTGATAGTGATTGTAATACAATGTCAGTATCTTTGGTTAAAATCCATATTAAATATACTCTCTATAAAAATAGCTGCTATAATTCTCTCTAGCTTCCATCCAGACATCGAAAATATAATGCCAGGTGTATTATGATTATCAAAACACTGCAGACTACTCCCATGTTTTTAAGTGCACCATTCTGCAGTCATTTATGCACCACCAAATTAAATTGAAGGAATAATTATTGTTTCCAAAGCCTGCTATAGCCCTTCCAAGTCAATTTCCCGCTAAACAGCTTAGCCTCGCCCCAAAAACATCCCATTGGTTGAGCCAGAAGTGGGCCTTGAAATAGCAATATTTTAGAAGTGCCACAATAGCATTGTTTACATTCAGAAAATGTCTTACTTACAGTTGTATTAGCATATTAAACTGTAATAGGAGAAAGTGAAACAAATGATACACTTCACCTATAACTATACACTGTCATTGAAAAGTTTAGGGTCAGTAAGATTTGTTTTTTAAAGAACATTGATATTAACAAGTAATGCTTCTTGAGCACTAAATCAATTTATTAGAATGATTTCTGAAGGATCATGTGACACTGAAGACTGGAAAAATTATGCTTTGCCATCAAAGGAATACATTATATTTTAAAATATACAAAAATGGAAAAGAGTTGTAATAATTTTTCACTTTACTGTTTGTTATTTTTGATCAAATAAATGCAGCCTTGGTGCTCTTGAAATTTTACCGACCCCAAATCTTCGAACAGAATTGTAAACAACTAACAACAAAATATGGGACTGACAGTCTAAACTCATCTTCAGGTCTTCTCTTGAGTGACCATCAAGCTCAAAACTAGCTATGAGCCAATTTAAAAAAGTCAAAGTCAAGTGCTGACTTTATACTATGAGTAAAAATGACGGCAAAAACCATAAAAATACCATGTCTGTATAACCATATAGATAGAGAAATAGTTCTCTCAATACAATCTTCAGTCCGTTCCTTCGTTTGAAACCTAAATGAGATCAAGAACCTATTTTGAAAAAGGATGAGTGACAGATGGGGTGGTTCTCAAGAGGAGCTGAGGGTTTGTGTCTCTCCCTCGTCTCCCTGCTCATCTGGATCGATGATTTCCCATGTGGAGCTGGATGTCGGAAGGTCAGAGGGCTGGGAACCGGAGCTCTTAGTAAGACTGGACCGTGTCAGGAAACCAAATCTAAAGGTTTGAATCAGAGGAGATAAGAGCTTTTAATCACAGATAGAAGAATGACAGAGGGAGATTTCAGTACTATTTTTAGTTCAGTTTCAGGAGCTATAGTTGGCATGCACAGTTCCTAAGTGTGACTAAGAGATCTCAAAGATCAGCTTAGAGTTTTCCCAAGTACATACAGAATTAATGCGGCTAAGAGCCACAATATACCGTATATTATGGAGCAAATTGTGTGCGTGTATCACACAAATTACTGCATACAATACACAGAGAGGCGAGCAGAATCTCTTTATAAAAAGACTAGGAGTCTTATTTAAAAATGTGTAATACATGAGCTTCTCAATGAGTATATTGTCAGTTGCACAATACTTGAAATCGCTTTTAACCAACATACATTTAAGAGAATGTTTAACAAGCCCAACATGCCCTTAAAGGCTACAATGTAAAAATGTCTGTCATCTAATCTAAAAACTGTAAACCAAAAAACTTAATGTAAAAACAAATGTGTGTCATCTAACCTAAAAACTGTAAACCAAAAATTAAATGTAAAAACAAATGTCTGTCACATAACCTAAAATGTGGTTAGAAATGTAAACAATGTAAATGTAAAAAAAAGTGGTAACATTAAATTTGACCCAAATTATTATTTAATACAGATTCATTCATACGGCATTAAATTACACAACTTAAAGTAATAAGGATTAAATCACTTAAATTGACTTCTTAAAGGTATGTAATGTTTGCACAACTAGCAGCAACCAAGAACATTACAAAAAATACTGCATAAAAACTGGTATACTACATAACCTCTACATCTTAAACTACAAAAACAAACTAAACCTTTCACACTCATAGTGTATTTATTGCACCCAAGAACGGTGGCTTATCCTATAATAACCTAATTCTACTGTAAGCCATTTTTAAGTGAAGTAGGTTAGAAGAATTTAAGTAGATTGTAAGACTGAAATCAGTTATTGCTATAATGTAGGTCTGTCTTGTTTTAGCATGACTGCAGCACTCACATGTTTCTGATGCGCGAGTCCTGGGGTTTGCTGTCAGTGTCGATGTCTTCATTTCCACTCCTCTCAAACAAAGGGCCATCTGTCTCATCTCTATACGAGGGTGAAACATAGTTAAACATAACATTAAATCACTGTATACTACCAGTATGTTTGTGGCATGTACTCACGTGCTACATTCGCTAACAGGTATGCCGAGCATTTTAGACTTTATGACGGTCCTCTGCTTCTTTATGGCAGAGCGCACGGCATCGAGTAAAAACCCTGGGCATCTCTCATCATTCAGGATTTCCCTGAGGAAAGACAGAGAGATGAGTGTACTTATTGAAAAAGGATGTGTATTGTGCTGATATAAAGGTTAGAATGCATCACAAATGCATTTGTCTCACCTTTGGTAATATGCAAGCTCTTCTTTCACCAGAAAGAGATTGGCCTTCAACTCGTTCCTCTCAAAAAGCATTTCCCGTACTTCCATCTTGGTAAAACAAGGCCGATTTGGATCTTTCAAGTCAATGATCATCTTATCTGTGAGGTCAATGGCTGAACTGCTCTAAAGGAGGCAAAGGTGAATTATAGGAGTATGTGAGTCAAATATCGTAAATGTCATGAGCACAGTTGATAATGTGCAGCTGATTCCATTTTAAAAAAACTTTTAAAGTGTTTGTGGGACACATTAAATCATAAACCATAATCATTAAACTAAAGACAAAAAGTATGGTACACAGTGGTGCCAAAAATTTCATAAACACTCAGAATTAAATTTAAATTAAATTTGAAAATAATAAATAAATAACGGTTGAATATAAATATTAATATAAAGGTAATTTAATAATATTTAAATGTAAAATAATAAATACAACCAGTTCCTTTCTAAATCATTTCTATTTATATATTTTTTATATTATAATCAATATAATTTTTTTGCTAGTTACTAAAAACTTATATTAAGATAAATTAACTCAATTTAAATTAGAACTAAATTTATATTAAGATCAATTTTGAAACTAACAGTTTAAATGTAAATATTAATATAACATAAATTTTACAATACATATGCATTATAACATTTTATAATATTTAAAAGTAAAATACTACATAGAATACTTATTTTCTAAATAATGTATACTTATTTATATTATATCAAAAAAAAAAATATATATATAATATTTATCATTATATAAAATAATTTATATGTTTCAGTTTTTCTTCATTACTAAAAGTTTATTTGATTCCTGAATTTAAATCATCTGTTAGTCTGTTAAGATAAATTAATCAAATTAATTTTAAAATTAATAAAATAAATTAAACACAAAAAGAGTGTAATGTCAATATTAATATAAAATAATTAAACAGTTCTTTTCTAAATAATGATACAGATCTAGTTCAGTGTATCAACTTTTTCCTTTGCCGTTTTTGTTAATTACTAAAAGCTTTTATTTATTTCTGAATTTAAATGATCTCTGTTGATTAAGATGTGTGAAAAAGATTCTGACATGATGTCAGAATTTAATCAAGCATCCTGAAATGTTTGTAAGCTGAAGGGGGAGTTGTGCACAAACATGCCCGTGACACTCCTGCGAGGGCAAACATGACCTATATATGCCAAATCCAACCAACCAATGTGGAATTTAGGCCCTACGTCTGCGGTAGTACATGCCAATACCTAAATCCCCCAAGAGGAACATAGAAGCTTCTGTCTCATTTTGTTTTTAGGAAATACAAAAATGATGAATACCCACAATCCCACATATAAACCCAATACAGGACAGCTAATTTGTTTGTAAGAATCTAGGTAATATTATCTTGACTAACAGTTTCAGCAGCAGTATTCACGCTGGCTCTTTCTAGTTGTGATTTCAGGCACTCTATCTCTTTCTGTTTCTCGCACAGGTCGGCCTCCATGTCCGCCTTCCTCTCCACCGCGCTCTTCAGCTGAGTCTGGATGATGTTCTGCTTGTGTCTGAGCTCTGCGTTTATCTTCATTAGCCGTTCCTGCTGCTCCTGGAGCTGAACAAAAAACACACACACACGCACGCTCTTCTGATCACTCAAACGGATTTGTAAAAAAAAAAAAAAAGTATTTAAATTCATTTTCTCTAAAACTATGAATTTGCAGTTGATTTTCTACGCGATTTTCTAAAAATGTGGAACTGGTCTGATCGGTTTTATAACAAAAACAAGGCAAACATAAAAAGGGAAACTATTAGCTCAGCTGCAAACCGCAGGTAAACACTTCTGATGCCATTCATGAATAACTATTTTTAACTATTAAATACACTTTTTTATTTTGTCAAAGGTGCTCTGCGAGTGACACAATGTTGACACTGTGTTTAAAATTCAACAAAAGAAACCTTGATGTTGCAAAAACTAGTTCTAATGAAAAGACAAGTCTGTTTTACAGTGGGTGAAAACCCTGTTTACCAGAATTCATTAGTAGAGGGACAGTGAAAAGAAATATCAAAAGGATTTTTGGAAAGAAAAAGTAGTAGTAGTAGTAGTAAAATCTTTATTTGTCCCTTTACAGGGCAATTAAAGTAGCTTCAACCTCACAAAACAGCAAAACATCACAGACATTACACACACACACACAAAAAACACACACACACACACACACACACACACACAAAACCCCGGGCATTTATAAATCTTCGTCTAGCTACTATTAAAATTAAAATTCATTCACGGTGCCTTTTCTTTTAAAGACCTAGAGGCTTTAGTGGTCCTCCACTTGGGCGCTCTATATCGCTTTCCTGAGGAAAGCAACTCAAATTCTAGAGACAAAATGTGGGATGTATCCTCTAGGATAGTTAAAGACTTCCTAAGAACACTTCTCTCACACAAAGCAGACAAACTCAACTGCACAGATCCTGTAATCTTTAACATTTAATCCATAAAACCAACAGATCATAGCAAATGTTAAAACACTTCCAATAAAAGATCTATAAAACATTATCAATATGGATTTATCTACTTCAAAGGACTTAAGCTTCCTCAGTAAATATAACCTCTTTTGTGCTTTCGATACAATACAATTGGTATGTTCCACCCACCTAAGTTTATCATCGATCAATGTACCCAAATACTTATATGAACTGACCTTCTCAACCTCTTTACCAGCACTAACTACTTTAGATTGAGTTCCGACAGAATTATAAAATTCTATAGTCATATCCTTAGTTTTGGATACATTCATTTGTAAATGAGAACTCTCACACCAATCCAAAAAATATTTCAAAATGGGCCCATGCTCTGTGTCACCTTGATTTAACAGACTCAACACCACTGTATCGTCAGCATATTTAATAATATGTCTGTCTGGATATTGGCTTCTACACCTATCAGTGAACAAAATAAATAATAAAGGTGAAAGAATACAACCCTGAGGGCAGCCCACTGAAGAATGCAGCTCCCTGGAATATTCTCCATTCACCCGTACTATTTGAGATCTTCTGGTCAGAAAATCTAAAATCCAGGCCACCAGACACTTAGGAACATTAAATTCAGAAAGCAAACGTTCAGCTAGAAGATTTGGTCGAGTAGTATTAAACGCTGAAGAAAAATCTATAAATAATAAACGAGCATGACTCTTACCGATGTCCACATGTTTATATATGTAATTTAAGAGTGTGAGAGTGGCATCCTCCACACTCCTATTTCTCCTATAGGCAAATTGTAGCGGATCAATCAGTTGACTAGTATGCTCAACGAGCCAAGATTTAACAATTCTCTCAAAAAGGGGGGTTTGCTTTCATTTTAAGTGCAAGAAAGCAACATGTTGGAGTATAATACTAGCCCCTTGTAACCCAAAGGTTCATGGTTTAAAACATGGTGCCCCAATAATTGATTTGAGCAACTCAGGTTATATCAGTGCAGTTGTATGAGACATACCGCTTCCACCTCCTTGGACAAGCTGGATATCTCCTGAACTTTCGCTCTCAACTCATCCCGCTGCTTATCCACCACTTCCTTCAGCTTGAGCATCACCTCTCGTTCCTGACGCTGTGTGCGGTCTAGAGAAAAGATCGGATTTTAAAATACTGCATGCAGATAATTATGTAAATAAAAAAAAATTCTAAAAAATAAATGAAGACGTTTCACAGAGAATATGAGAGCTCGATTGCTCGGAGAAGTTGCATTCCTCCCTGATATCAGGATAGAAAACAACACACCTCCTTTTGAAGGCTTGTCTCATGGCAAGCAATTACATTTTGGACTTTGGTTTATACTGTACACAACAATAAAACTTAAAGTTAAATTGGTGCTACAAGGAAATACAAAGATCCTGTAATAATTTAAAGACATTTAAGACTCTGGATAATACCTTCCTTGAAAAATGATCAATTAAATATTTTGAAATATGATGATGTATTGAAAAATGAGTTGTTTTTGTATTTTATTGAACATATTTCACCAAATGTTCTAAATGCATGTCATAGATCTGACTGTGAAGAATTTATCCATGTAGATGTTTAAATGTAAAAAAAATTAAATAAATAATTGTGTCACCAAAATGTCATAACTGGATCTTTCAGTGAAAGTAACAGACTTCTCCCATCAAACGACTGCAAGCTTGTATTCATATGCCTCCACTTTTGAGTGCAATGCCCATTTCAAAATCCAATGAAAAACTGATGTGTACTGTAGAACCATGCGTTTTATTTTCAGATAACCTATTACAGTCGGCATGTACATCACAATACATTCGTGACTTTAGTAAGACTAATTATCATTCCAAAACATAAAACAATTAAGACCATCTGAACTAAAAACATTTCATGATTGTTTCCATTCCAGTTCGTTTACTTTTACACTGGAAAAGGCAATTATACTGATATTCCATTCATTTTGGTATGAATGAATAAACTCATGCCTTCATTTAAATATAGTTATGTGCGTCCCAGGTCATTTTACCTTCTTTGGAGTGTGTGCATTGTAAGCGGGTCAAAAGCTCCTGGTTCTCTTCCTTGAGCTGACGCACATGCGACTCTAACACTTCTACGTTCTCCTTCAGTTTCTTCTCTTTCTGATGCCAGTCCTGATGAAAAAAATGAGTCAATGCAAAAATCCTTTCAAACCACAAACACATGAAGTGAGACTACCAGGTGTCACCCTGAGATTGGTTTCATAAGCCTAACAATTTAACAGATCACTCTGAGAACACAGTGGCTGAGTCCGAAATCGCATACCCTCTTGAGAAGGTACTTATTTTGAGAAAGTACTTCATGACACCTGAAAAAGGTATGTTCTTCTATATTGTGTAGTATTAACATACTACATTTGCCATGCTTTCATTATAATGTGAGTGACCCACCAGCACCAGTTACTTCGCTTCACTGTTCAGAAATATTCTCCCTTGGTGTCATGGGATAGTAAAGTGTCCATCATATGCAAACTTCAGAATATCGCAGGAAGTAGTAGACTGGGTACTCTTTTATGAGTACACTGTGTGAATTTGTGTGACATATACTGTTTTTTGCCTACTACAAAGTAGGGAAGTATGATTTCAGATGCAGCTAGGGCTGAAACGATTAGTCGATTAGTCAATTAAAAATTGTTAACAAATCTTTGTTGTCGAGTAGTCGTTTGATCTCACGTGACCTAATGTAAGGGCGTGCAATATCGCGATTTGACCGCTACGGCGCAGTGGCGCTAGAGTGTAATGCAGCCCTTACAAATGCAATTATTGCGGTAAAAGAAAAAAAACAGCGCGAATTATGACAGAGTGCAAACGAATCCGAACTAGCAAGGTTTTTGAAAGTTTCACAAAACTTAAAACCAACAATGCTGTCATGTGCAATACGTGCAAGGCAGAACTTGCTTTTCACGGGAGCATAACAAGCAAAAAGCCCTTTGCACTGAAACGGTCTTTTGGACCTTGAACCGCTTGGTTGCCAGTAATATGGAGACAAATCCTGTAATGTTTTCATCAAAAACCTTAATTTCTTTTCGACTGAAGAAAGTATGACATGGACATCTTGAATGACATGGAGGTGAGTAAATTATCAGCAAAAGTTTTTTTTTTTTTAAGTGAACTACTCCTTTAAAGGGATACTCCACCCAAAAGTGAAAATTCTGTCATCATTTACTCACCCTCAAGTTGTTGCAAACCTGTATGAGTTTGTTTCTTCTGCTGAACACAGGGAGATATTTTGAAGAACGATTGGAAATTGGCACCATTGACTGACTTCCATAGTCATATGGAAGTCAATGGTGCCAAACAACTGCTTGGTTTCAATCGTTCTTCAAAATATCTTCCTTTGTGTTCAGCAGAAGAAACAAACTCATACAGGTGTGCACCAATTTGAGGGTGAGTAAATTACATGGTAAATTATGACAGAATTTTCATTTTTGGGTGACGTACCCCTTTAAATAAGATATAACGCTTTCAGTCTTAAACTTTGCACACAGAAAGAGTTAAGAGAAGTTACATTTTTCTCTAAGAACGACAATGATATAAGGATAGAAACATTGTTTGTAAGATCTCAATAAGATTTAATAACTGACTGCAAGCTAGCGTAAGTATTTAATCAGCATCACTGAAATCATTTTAATGAACATATCACAGCCACTTAGACGAAATCAAGATCAAAATCCCCACTACTACTAATGAAAGTTACATTATGTTCTCAAAATTACGTTTATTGAGGGGAAGGGTAGACAGGAAGTGCCCCCTATTGGCATTTCCTAAAAATAAATCGATCAATGTGTCACGACTCACGATACGCGAATCAAAAGTACAGCTTGATTAAAGGCAATAGTGTGAAACACCAATTCCATTACATTAAAACACAGTTATCCATAAGGAAACCGCATAGACATTTAAATATATAAAGAGAAGTGCTACAGTAACAGTGTTGACATGTCGACCATGTTGTCGTGTTCTTACCCGACTCTCTAAGCTGTTGCTGCTCTCATCGCATTCCTTCACATTTCGCTTCTTCTGCTGCTGTAACTGTAACGTTTCAAAGGCCTTCAATAGGTCCTCTTCCTTACATTTATTAGATTGATTTCTCGCTGCGAAACTCTCCAAGAGCTCCAACACTTTCACTATGTGAGACACCAGACCTTCCACGCTCGACTTCCCATAGCTGTCGATGAGCTTCTCCAATTCTGACCCCACCACTTTAGCGATTTCATACACATCGTCCACTGTCATAGACGAAAACGTCCTCGCAAAACACGAATGTATATTGACGATATCGTTTTGGTTTTCCTCGAAGGCTATCACGCAAGTCTCCATAACGCACTTCAGATGAACTTGAACTCAAACAGCGACAATCGAAACTGTCAGTCCGATCTTAAGATGCGTCCAGTTGTGATTCAGCTAGAACGCAGATCTTGTTTTGTTTCACTTTTAAAAAATACATGCATTTTCGATCCAGTTTGTTTCGTGACTACATCCTTTGTTAATGCGCTCTAATAAGCACGGCTGAGTTATAAAATCAACCTGTCTATGCAAGACTTGCATGTCATAACTTGAAGAGCAACGCCTACGGCACTAGCATGATGAATGTTGGCCGTGCATATGTTTGCATTGTGTTCTTTTATAAATAAAAGGTGGTTGAACGGAGGCACATCTATGACTGCCCACAGTTCTTGTTTGCCATGGTTGTTCCCTCCTCCTCTGACCAATGCAACCCGAGAGCTTTAACGCACCACATATGGCAAGCAGTATTAACATTTATTCCTTAAAACTAGCTGTTACTAGTTTATTTTTAATGTAGGTTTAATTAGGTTTTTTTAAACATGTAACCTAGATACTTCTGATAGTGATCTATTACTGTAACACTGTTATTTATTTTTGCAATAGAATATATGAGACAGCATCTATTCCAGTTGGTATAATTTCTTTATCTCAGTATTGTAGCCCTCAATCGGGTCATGGGGTCAATCGACTTTTACTTAATAAAACAAAGGATCCCTTCATCTCAGTGGAATACGATTTTGTGACTTTTCATACATTAACAAAAAACTGGGCTTGATTTGGTTGTTGTGAAGGTATGTAAAAAAAAAAAAAAAAAAAGTTTACACTTCTGGTCTTCGGGCTCAATATGACCCCACATTGAAATGAATGGGAAATGTGAAAAAAAACTAAATATTATTTTTTTTCATGCGTCAAAAAAATAAAAAATAAAAAAAAATTTCCAGCATAAATCTGAAAAATTTTACACAGAAATGAAGGCCTTGTACTAGAGCATAAATGCAATGTATCATAAAGAAATACTATTTCATATGCAAGCTAATGGTGTAGTTGAGGAATTGTGTGTGGTATATGGATACAAAAGTACTTTATATCTCCAAAAACACAGCATTAATGAATAGATGAGAAGTAAACAAACAAAAAAAAAAAATGATATATTATTTGTATGATTAAAAATGTATATTTTTTGTACATGCAATCAATTGTTAGCGTCACATAGAACCTGAAGCCCAGAAATGTAAACAGGAAACAAAGACCATTTGAAGGTTAATGTTTATAAACTGCAAGACTAGTTCTGAATGTCTTTTTTATAAATTGCATAATGCAATGAATAATTAGACTAATAATCAGAACCTTTCACTACTAGTTAAATAAAAATCTCACTTGCAAGATATTAAAAAAAAAAATTCTTGGAAAAATTAGACATCCACTGAAATTAAAGCCTGACTACTGTCTCTTGCGTTGCTATTTAACCTGGAGTGGATACTAAGTACTGGAAAAGGTATAAGTAACCAAGTCTAAACTAGTAGTCTTCCTTGAATTACTTCTAGTCAGAAATAAATTATATTTGAACCAGAGACCCCCATAGAAAAATGTGCAGTGTTACCAGAAACAATGAAATAGTTGCTTTAATTATTCTGGTGACTAATTCTAGCTTGTAATTAGTGAAAGTGAAACAAACTAGTGATGGTTAAAGTGGTACAAGGTTTTAATTCTATACTGTACTCACCCTCACGTCGTTCCAAACCTTAATGACTGAACACAAGCAGATAATCTAATGAATATTCAGTTTGGTTAAGCCACAAACACATCAGAGAGCAGTTTATCACCAAAATCAACAGTTTTTTGTTGACATTCTCAAGTAAGAATAAACAATCGGATACCCCTCTTTAGGAATAAATGTTAAAACAACTTGCCATTTCATATGTTCAGGGCTGAGCTGCTCAGTGAACTGTAACATGCATGCAGATTGGTTTGCTCTAAAGGCATACAGTGACCTTGTTCTGTATAGAGCAGACTGTTCCTTCAGTGGACACAGATGATTTTTTTTCCACAAAACCAATAGGAATGACAATGAGATAAAGCTAAAATTATTATAAAAGTGGTAATCTTTATTTAAACCCAAACTACAGTGTACATGACAGATGCACAACATAGCTACAGGGTACAGACAAAATATGCTAGATTTATAAAAACAAAACATACTACAAATGATTACGAAAAACAGATATCTTTAGATGGCAAGTCATTTATCTCATCTACAGACAGAAAGCACAAAATATGCTTTTCCGCAATGTGCACAATCAACCCAATGCCAGACAATTATGATGAAGCAAAAAACATGACATGCTTCAATTTACATTACTGCAAACAATAAAGAGTAAGTCTTGGTGACAAAACAGTACAAAAGCATTTGCTGGGGGCTTTTACTTTATATAGTTTTCATAAGCTGTTTGTACTATTATGCATACATGTCCTCACGATCAGCATTGTAGAGTTCACCTTCCTGCAAAGAAGCGAAGTTGAGGAAGTGAGATGGTCTGTGAACTTCATGGTAGAACTCTTTTGGGTTGGCCAACTGTAGGTCATACTTCATGTTAGGGTCATGGCGAACACCTAGAATGAGGGGGGTAAAGGATAGAAACGTAGTGTCACATCTGCAAGGATTTCTTTAACAGGTTTAAATCACATAATTAAATAATATTAATAATTTAAAGCTATGCTCACCCATGAAGTTGTAGTTCCAGGAAACCTGGCCAGGCACCATGAAGAAGCCAAGGAAACGGTCAGATAAGAGCATCTGTACTCTTTCGTAGTGAGAAGGCAAGTAACCTTTGGGGTTATTACCCTTATCTGTGTTTTGCCTACCCCACTCATACCCACTAGGAGTCAGCTTGTATGCCGTCAGCGTGCAGGAACCAGGGGTAAAACTAGACAAGCAAAACCAAATGTTAAACACACAAAAGCAGTGTCAAATATTATAACCAGATAATCATTACACAGCCACAATGCATTAGTTTGCTAAATGTGTACCTGCAAGTAATAATGATAGTCTTCTCGCCATCCCAGGATGGGTTGTCAGCCATGACCTTTGCGTGAGTGGTGACATCCTGAGGGGAAAGCTGGGGCGATTCATTGGGCTGTGTATGGATCCATCCAAGAGGTTCCATTTCCTATGAAAGATATTGAAAGACGGCATTCAAACGGTTTGATACAGCTAGGGAGAGCGTAGATGGCAGATAACACCCAACTAAAGACATATGCATGCGTGTAAAACACTGACCTTCAAGTACTCGTGTTGTGGCAGCTGGTTGGGCAGGTGAACCGTCTGATGCGTACCCCACTGTGGCACCATCACAATGCAACGGATCTCTTTTACCTGAGGGTTATCTGGAGGGCTGGTTCCATAGAGATAACCTGCAATCTATAGGTATAAAAAAAATAGACAAAAAAGGTTTAGGATACTTCTAAATGAACCAAATGAAAAGGGTCTATAAGAGAAATCACGTTAAGACGACATTTCATCTAACCTGAGCACGCAAATCTGAGATGCAGATGAACTTCTTCAGAACGTTCTTGGGCAGGATGTAAGTGTACCCAGTCTCTTTGATGTCATCCGATGATACGTAGATGTGGTTAGTACGTAAGTGCAAGTTGGCAGCAGAGATCGCCCTGTGACATCGGGAAAACAGTTCAACTCAATATAGCTGTGTTTTAACAACTAAAAAGACGAGAAAGATATGGAGAACTTTACACACCTAACTCTCCATTCAGTTTTGGAAGAGAAGGTCTGCGTCTCGTAGTTGCTGGTGGTGGAGGTGATAATCTCATCTCCGTGTTTGTTTACAGTGCGAGTCTGTGTGGCTGTCAGTTGAGACTGCTCCTTGGTCTGCTTCTCGATCTCAGCAATCTGTTGTCTCTGCTGGGATGGAGCCGAGATCTCCATACCCAGGATGATGTCCCTGATTTCAGACTGGGTCAAAGATGCCACATTCACACTGTGGAGGAGGAGGGAAAAAAGTTAAGATGTGAGAAGGATTTTTTTTTTTTTTTCAGTTTGCACTCAGTATGCATTTGTTCCATAGCACTCACTTGTTCTTCTTGCCATAGTCAGCCAGGATGAGATCTTTGAGCTGCACCTCAACTTTGATCCACTCCTCATCAGTCAGAGTGGGCCAGATGTGGTGGGGCTCTGTGATGGTGGTCTTGTCAGGCTTCAGGATAACTTTAGCACGGTCATTGTTGACATGAAGTGCTCTCAGGATTAAGATCAAACGAGAGAAAGCCTAGGAAACAAAAACGTACAATGGTAAAATACCTTATCTCGAGTAGTGTAATCCTCAGAAGCAAAAAATGATTAGGTCAAAATTATAATATAAGTGGTGGATTTACAGTGTAAGAGGAGATGGTCTTCAGCCAGTCATCGTACAGATTGAACAGGACCATCTGAGGCTCTGTGGCCTTCAGAATGAGGTCTCCAAACTTCTCCACTTTCAGACATGCCTGGAATGGCAGCTGGAGTTCAGAGCCCTTGATTACAATGTTGGGGAAGTCCAGCAAGTGCACCTGAGAAAAACAGACAGCTGTTAATCTAAAAGTTAACATGTACAGATGTTAAATCAATTTCCAGAGCATTAACTCAATTAATTTGCGTTTCACAGTTTTAATGGGTGTTTCTAACCTCAAGAGGATCCAACATGCCCTTCCTGGTCACAATAATCTGTTTGGGCTGCTCTTCAACAGGCAGCGATCGGATCAGGGCAGCCACTTCTTCAGCAGTTTTCCACTTAGCCAGCTATAAAAACAGAAAAAGTGCAACTAAGCAAAACCTAAAAACAATTGAGTGACTCCTTTGAGCAGAACACCGACTAATGACAAAAAAAATAACTGCACGGAGACAAAACACAAGACTGACCTGTCCGAGACGCTTTTGTCCTGCCCATACAGAGGTGTGAATGATCTTCAGGAAAAGCTGTCCAGTTCTGGGGTTGAAGATGAAAATTGCCCCATTGATTGGTTTGGTGGTCAAGTTACCTTCAAATGTCTAAAACATGGATAAAAAGTAAACAAATTAGACATTTTAGCACACAACCCAACATGATGACATTATGAACACCATAAGTGACATCTACATGATGTTAAATTCACTTGCCTTGTGGATGGTGACTCTGTACACATTGGTGTCATCCACAAACCAGATGATCTGGTTAGAGAAGAGCTCTCCATAGTTCTGGGAAGATAGGTAAGGCTCAGTGGGCTCTGAAGAGTAAAGTTGGAGACCCTTGCGGATTCGCTCTCTCAGCACATACAGAGCAGGGTTGGCCTTCATTATCTTCGCCATGGCCTGCTGGATCAGGGGCTTGGCTCCAGGGAACCAGTTTCCATAAGCACTGCAGAGAGAA